TAATCATCACAATCCAGGCTGACATTTATGGGGGTTTCTGCACCAGGCCCTGTACCAGGCCCTTCTCATACCCCTTTACCTAGTCCCCACAGGTCCCTGAGAGGCAGGCACTTTGACCACAGCTGTATTCCCATTTTACAGATGAGAAAAGGGAGGGGCAGCGATACGCCCAGGAGGAGGGCCGAGGGGAAGCCCAGAGCCGGAAACCCCCGCCCCCCACCGTGAGTGCTGAAGACCATGACACCATCCAACCCGTGCCCCAGCCAAGGGGCTGCCCACACCACGCAGCAGGGGCTGGAGACCTAGATGGGAGAGGAGGCCCCCCTAGACACGCGCCCAGGGTGTGAGGGAAACTGAGGCCCAGAGAGGGGCCGTGAGGAGAAAGAAGGTGGAAAGGAAGGGCAGGCCGCCTGGGTGGGGTGGGGCCACCCCCGGTTAATGATTCGGTTAATCATTTCTGCTCCCCATCCTTATCAGGAGGGCAAAGTCCAAGGGCAGCAGCCAATCGGCGGCCCCGCTGGGCTGTTACCCGGCGGCCTCTGCTGCCAGGGCCCCCAGTCCTGTAAGCCCTTGGCAGTCAGGCAGCGGGTGCCAGGGCCCCAGAAGGAGGCCAGTCAGCCCTGAGTGGCCTGTCCTTCCCCCAAACACCCTGCTTGGCCCTGCCTAAGACCCCAAGGGCCCTCTGCCCAGGCCCCCAGCCTCAGTTCCAGAGGCCAGCAGGTTGGACACAGCCCGCTGCTCTCCCTGCGCTGACCACAGGTCCTCCCAGAGAGTCGGCTTCCTGGGGTGCACCCCCTGCCCCGCCTCTGCTCCCATAGCCATTGTTGTCTCCATTGACCCTGGGAACATTTCCTGCCCGCCCCGCCCCCCCCCACCCCTGTGTGGCCCTGCGCTGGGTGTTGGGAACATGGGGATGAGTCAGACCCCACACTACATTTCCCCTCCAGCTGGACTGAGGGACTGGGGGAGGGCGGCTGGGACAGGTGTCCTCCCAGGGTCTCTGGGTGGACCCAGGAGATACCTCATCTCATATCCTTGAGAGTCAGGGGCCGGACTGCCTCCCCCATCCACCTATCCCTGGGTGCATGACAGACAAACAGACAGGCTGACACGGGGCCTGGTGCCACCCCATCATACACCCCAGCTCAGCCCCAGCTCAGTCCAGGGTGGGCATCCTCTCCCACAAGCCATCAGGCGGCCTCCCCCGGGGCCTCCTCCTGCCCTCTGGAGGCACAGCTGCTGGTCCCCGAAGGAAGGCCGCCCTCCCTCCCAAGGGCCTGGTGGCAGAGAGAGAGATGGGGCTAGGTGTCCCCTTTGGCCAACTCCCTTCTCTCGGAGCCACTGTCTTGGCCCCTGGGAAAGGGGGCCCATGTCACCCCCTCGTCCCCCCCCCCATCTGGAGCCGGGGGCCGGTGGCTTTTAAACCAGGATCCTGGTGCTCTGGGGTCTCTACGTCCAGCAGAGAGGTGCTCTCAGGAGACCATGAGTTCGTCTTTGTTTGGTGGCTAAAAAGAATGACCCTGGAAGCCCCTGCTGTGGTCCAGGGCCCCTGGCTGCCCCAGGAGGGGACATGAGGCAGGAGAAGGGAAGTCAGCAGCCCGAGCCACCCATCGGGGCTGGCAGGAGTGAAAACCCGCCCCCTCCCTCCAGCCTCCCTGGTGGGCTCTAGAGGCCGAGTGGAGGTTGCCCCAACCTCGCAGTGCCTTTCCAGCACCTGCTAGAAGCCCAGTTCCCCTCAGCCTCTAAGCCTTCCTCTATACCACCTGCTTTCTGGGGGACACTGGCTGCTGACTCAAGTGCCACATGCCCCTGGAGCCAGGGGCCAGCACCCTCCCCCTTGCAAGCTCCCTTCTTTCCGGGGCTGGGAGACTAGGCTCATGAGAGCTGAAGGCATCCAGACCTTCTCTGCCACCGCCTCCTGTCCTGCACATGAGGAAAAGGGGCCCAGAGAGGGTGAGAGCTCTGCACAGGGTCACACAGCTCTCCACGGCTGAGCCACCACCAGAACCTCGGAGGTCCTCCCGGGATCCTCTGATGCTGCCTTGTCCCTGTCCCTGACCGGGCTCTGGGTGTCCAAGGCCCCAGCCGGTCAAGACGATGCCACCGCCACCCAGTTACCTGCTGGGAGCCAGTGCATGCTGCCCGGAGGGTCCCCTCTCCGCAGGCCCTGTGCCCGCCGAGCCGGGCGGCCGAAGCCTCCCTCTAGGGATTAGCAGGGCGGTCACGGGGGCCCCGGCTGTACCAGCCTCGAGGGGGCCGCCCTGTCCCAGCCTCCCACCCAAGGCCCAAAGCGCCTTAGCCCCCAGCCCACCACCCTGGAGCGGGGCACAGCCTGGCCCACCCGCACAGGGCTGGACCCAGGACACCACCCTGGTGCGGGCCACGTCAGACGAGGGGGCTCGCGCACCCCTGCCCTTTCAGCAAAGCCCTTGCCCGTCTCCAAACCCAGAGCTGAAAGCATGGACCCGGTCCCAGACCCACTGTCCAGAGGGAGTGACCAAGGCCAAGCGGGGACCCGGAGGAGAACTCAGGGGTCCCCAGACCTGAGTGCAAGAGCACCCATTGCCCCCACACGCTCAGGAACACCATGTCCACACGCACAAAAGCACAACTCCCCACCCCCTGCCCTTTCACACTTACACCCACGAGCACGCTCAGGCTCCGCCACTCCCGGGCGCACCCTGACACCCACGCTGGGTCCCCCCACACCACTGCCCATCTGATGCCCTGCCAGCCCTTCCCCTCCCAAGTGGCCCCAGGGACCCGGGCCCTCGGCGCCCACCCCATCTTCCCCCATCGCAAGCTCTGGGAACACTTTGCCAGCCCCTGGCTCCCCCCGGGGCCCTCCTCGCGGGCAGTCCCACACCCACCCCTGTTCCCCACAGACATTCTTGAGTCTCCTCTTATCTCTTTGGAGGGAGCTGCGCAGCCTCCCCGCCAGGCCGGCCGCATGGCTGAGTCGTGGCGTCAGCCCCCACCCCCACCCACGGCCAGGAGGGAGTTTGGCTCAGGAGTCAGGGAGCCCTGGCCAGCCAGGCCCACCCCTCTGCCCGGGCCCTGGGCTTTGGGAGAGGAGACAGGGGGCTATCTGGAGGAAGCAAGAGGCACTAGCCGGGGGTCATCTGGGGTACCTAGAAAGCTCAGGGCACCTCAAAACAGTACCCCCAAGGCAGGACTTGTGTCCCTTTCCTGCCTCCCCAGGGGCCCCCAGCCCCCATAAGACTCCTGTGGGTTTCTAAAGGATGAACAGAGTCGGGGGAAAACAAGAGTCCTTGGGACTGATGGGGGGCTGCCTGGGACCCTCAAACAGCCCGACAACCTGGGGATCAACCATTTAATCTAGTCCAAAGGTGACTTCTTGGGATCTGGGTCTGCTGGGGTGTCCAGAATCCCGGAGAGGTGAGTGCTGAGGCTGGTGGATACTCTGCCCTGGGCTGCGCAGCAAGCCGGAGGGGACAAAGGCTCCCGCCTCTCGGGTCACAGAGAGGGAGAAACTGAGGCAAAGAGAGGCCTTCTTCTCTCCCTCATGGGACTCCACGGAATCTGGGCTCTAGGCTTGAAACTTGGGCCCCGATTCCCAGCCCCGCAGCCCCACAGTGCCAGCACAGCGTGCTCCGTGGGCCACCCCCGGCCCCCAGGGGTGGGTTCACACTGATGGAAGGCTCTGAGTCCCCGACTTCTGGGTTCTGAATGCACTGAGGAGCAGGATGAGGGCTTAGGGACTGGGGAGAGGGTGGGGGCAGAGGCTGGGCTCCCCAAATTGGAAGGGAGGGGCAGAAAAGGGGCTAGAGGGCCTGAAAAGCAGCAGAGTGGGCTGGAGATGTCAGCCTGCACCTCCGCCTCCCCCTCCCACCCTCGGTCTCATTCCTCCTGAATCCAGCACCCAGGAGGAGGGGGATGCCCTGAGGACCTGCAGATGCTACTCAGGAAAAGGGTCAGGAAGTCGCTTAGACGTGGGAGCAGACCTCCCAAATCACTGTGGGGACAGGGAAGTGGGTAGAAGAAAATATTGTAGGGTCTATGTAGATCCCAGCCCTGAGAGGGTCCCCTCGGGGTCAAGGTCTGGGGTGGGGGACACAGCCAGAGGAGGCACAGCCGCAGGGACAGGTGTGGGCGGGTGACAGAGCCCTGAGGAGCCTCAGAGGGCTAGCGGGATGCAGTTCACAGCTGGGGGAGGGTCTCGGAGTGGCGAGGTGGCTGGCAACAGGGATGCCAACTTCAAGAAGCTTCCAGACCAAGCAGAGCAGTGCAGTCAGGGTGGGAGAGTGGGGCAATCCAGCCCACTCAGCCCAGGGAGGAATGCTGGGGAGGGCTTCCCAGGCCCAGGTAGGGAAGGGGGACAGCTTCAAGGGGCATTTCAGCCTTGGGAGAGGGAGCAGCCTCGTAGAAGGTGGATGGCAGACTTAAAGGGGGTCGTAGTCTCAGGGAAGCACAAGGGGGAGGTCCCAGCTCCTAGGAGTCAGGCGGCGGGAGGATGCCAACCTGAAAGGCACACAAGGCGCCTGGGTCTCTGGGGGGGGGGGGGGGGGTGTCCCAGCCTCTGGGAAGCACGCTGGGGCTGGGGTGCCAGTCTAAGAGGCATGGAAGATGCTAGAAGGTGTGCTGGGGGTCGGAGCCTCAAAAGGAGTCTGGGCCTGGATGGGGTTCCAGGGAAACACAGTCCAGGGTCCCCAGACTGCGGAAGTGCGCTTGGGGTGGGAGGTGTCAGAATTTAGGGGGGACTGCAGGTCCTGGGAGGCACGAAGGAGGACCGAGACGGGAAGAGGACACAACTCCAGGGAAGTTGTGTGTTGGGGGACAGAGAGAGGGCGTCCAACTTTAGTGGAGGTGGGGAGTAACTTCCAGAAGACTCGCAGCCCCGCAGGGGGGTGCCAGCCTGGAGGAGGGCCCCAGCCCAGAGAAGGCGTCCTCGGGGGTCCCAGCGGAGCGAAAGCACAGTCGGGGTCCCAGTCCCGGGGGAGGGGGTGATCGGCGCCGCCCCCGCCGCCCGCGGTCCTCACCTTCGAAGAAGCGCTGCAGCGCCTCGGTCTCGTCCACCACCTCCATGGCCGGCCCGCCCGGCGCGCGCTCCGCCCCGGCCCCGCTACAGCCCGGCCCGGGGGCGCGGCATCGCCGGCGCGGCCCGCGCGACAGTCCCGGCTCCGCTGCGGCTGCGGTCCCGCCCGGGCGGCCGCCGCGCTCGCCCCCCGCGCGCCCTGGCCCGGCCCCCGCCCGCCCCCCGCGCCCCGCCCGCCGGCCCCGCGCCCCCTGCCGGCCGGTCCCCGAGCGCAGCCCCGCGGCGGGCAGGGCGCGCGGCTCCTGCAGGCGGCGCTCGGCTCGGCGCGGGGTCCCTCCCCGGGGCGCGGGGACCGCAGGGCGCGCGGGCTCGGGGCGCGCGGGGGCTGGGGTCAGCGGCCACTCCGTGCCCCCGCAGTCCTCATCCTCCCCTTGGACAGGGGAAGATCTGAATCTGAGAGTTTCAGAAGCAAACCTCAGCAGCCTCCCCTGTTTCCTCCCCGGTCCTCACCTTCCATCTCCGCGATGCATTCCATGAACGTTCGTTATGGGCCAGGCCCGCCCTGAGCGCTTGGTGGGCGTTAGCTCCTTGAGTCCTCCCAGGTTCCCCTACCCAGGAGGTAGGGTTATGTGCATCTGACAGAGGAGGAAACTGAGGCTCAGGGACGCTCAGCACCGTCTGAGGCAGTGCTGTCCTGTGTAACTTTCCGTGAGCATGGAAATGTTCTCCGTGTTGTCCAATCTGGGAGCCTCTAGGCGCTTGTGGCCATGGAGCCCTTGAAAGGTGGCTGTTGAGACCAAGGGACTGACTTTTCGATTTTGTTAAATTTTAATTAGTTCAAATTTAAATAGCCCTGTGTGGGTACGATATTGGACGGCACAGGTCTCAGGGTTTCAAGGTGGTTAGGGGCAAAGCCAATATTCGGAGCCAGATCCGGGCGGACCTGGGAAGCTGCCTGCTCAGCCACTGCTTCCCGGTGTGGTAGCGCCAGGTCTGAAGGTTCCACCTCAAGTGTGTCAGGGGTAAACCCGCCACCCTCGTCCCTCTGCCTCTTCATCCCTGTTCTGCCCAACTGCACAGCCTCTCTCCGCGCTGATCTCTACAATCCTCCCAAATCACTATTTTTAAAATGTAAATCAGCTCTTCTTATTCCTTTGCTAAAATCTGTGGTTTCCCTTTGCACTCAATATCTTAACCTCTTGCCCCGGTTTCCAAGCCTTTGTAGGATCTGCCCCTGCCTGTACCACTGACCTTAGCTCCTACTTTTCTCTCCCTTGCTCACTAAGTCACAGACATCAAGGCCTCCTTGCCATCACTCAGACATGCCAGGCCCACAGCTGCCTCAGGACCTTGGCACATGCTGTTCCATCTGTCTACAATGCTTGTCCCCACATGGCTGGTTCCTTCTCAGTAGTCAGGTCTCAGCTCATTCATCACCCCTCTGACCACCCTACCTACAGCAGGTTCCTCCTACCTAGGCCTTTCTTTCTCACCGTGTAAAAGAGTGTGATTTTGTTTTTGCCGTTATTCTTCTCGCTCTAGAATGGAAGCCCTATGCGGGTAAGAGATTTTTCTGGCTTGTTCATTGCTTTAGCTTCAACACCAAGAACGCTACATAGCACACAGTAGGTGCTCAATAAATGTGTTGAATGAATGGACGATGCATCCTCAAACTGTTTCCCTAGACCCTGCAACCTCGGAAGCCGAGAGTTCTGGAATCCCAGACCCAGCGAATCATGTCACCGCAGAGTGGCTCAGCTCGTACCCTCTCGGGATCCTCAGATACAACAAGTCAGAGCTGGAAAACCTGTCCCACCCCCCCACCCTTTGACACATGATGAAACTGAGGCCCAGCGGGGTGAGAGGACTTGCCGGCAGGTCCGGATGCCAGCCTAGCCAGCCCAGAGCTCTCCCCTCTGCCTGCCAGTGGCCCCCCGGGGGACAGCGGGGGGCCGAGCCGGGCTGCCCAGCGGGGATGGGGTGAGAGCCTGCGAAGCTGCTCCCACCCGGGCCGCCCTCCCCCTCCTCAGCAGCCAGCCATGGGGGAGGGGAGGCCAGTGCCTGAGCCCAGATGTGGCCCAGTCAGCAGGCCGGTGGTGGCCCGCCGAGGAGGGTCAATACCACGACAGTTCTGGGGCTGGGGGAGGGGGCGCCCAGGCCGGCGGGTGCCTCACAATGAGGTTTTGTCCCTCCGGGGGCCGCTCTCCGAGTTGTTGCTCTTAGATATATAGAACGGGACTTTACTGGAGGCCCCAGCTGTGTGTGCTGACCGGCGCTCCCCCCGCAGGGGCCGGGCTGAGAGCAGCAGAGGGCCACACTGAGACGCCCATTCTTTTCCAGCCGATACACCCCAGAGGTTTTTCTCCCTCCGCAGCATCCCTTAAGACAATTGTTATTCTCTACTCTGCCCCCTCCCCCACCCGGGTCAAGCCTGCCGTGGACCAAGTGGACACCCGCCCATGCCGTGTGATTTTTGAAAATGAATTTATTTTAGGAGTTGCCAGGGATCAGCTGGAAAACCAGCTTCTTTATAAGCCTCCCCCACCCACGGGTCTTTCTGCCGTACCCCAGGTGGTGCTGAAACGCCCACCTTTTGAAGGCTATCCCCAAGAGCTAAGCATCACCCCTAGATGTCTGGGTCATCAAAGGGTGGGGGATATGTGTCTTTTGTTCCCAACACCCCAACTCCTCGGGCTGGCTTAAGTCTCTTGAAGTTGGACATGGTGGGACGGAGCCCCCTGTTAGTCCCATCCCCTGACTCCACTAGGCCACGGAGCAAAGGAGCGACTGTCCCCGTGGGGTTTCATCTCTTGGCTGGGGGAGAAGGGTGGCGGAAACGTCCTGGACTCCAGGGCTCAGCCAAGAGTCGAGGCTGCCGCATTCCAACTCTGTAATGAAATTGGGGCCCAAGTCCGGGTGGGGAGAGGCTGAGGCTGGTGAGGGAGCCCCATCGCCAGGGCCTTGAGGGCTCCATCCATGGAGAGGAGTCGCCACCTGCCCCCTCTCCCCAACAAGCCACAATGAGTGAGGGACCGAGACTTCAGCCCCGGCCCAGCAGACGTGGTTGTCCCCTGTGGCCAGCTCAGCTGTTCTCCCAGGCCTGCCCTCCGGTCCTTGGAGGCCTCCTCTGTCAATCAGCCCGTTGTCCCCACCTCACCGTGTGGGTAAAGTGCCAGGGAAGTCATCCATAAATGGGGCTTCCTATGGTGGCAGGCCAGTCCCCAGCGCCCAGCACCCAGGGCCGGCCTTTGAGTGACAGTAGGGACATGAGGAGGCAGCCCTGGGGAAAGGGAGGCAGGGACTTGAGGGTTAATGAGTAACGGGCTGGAGGGCAGCCCAGGAGAGGGTGGGGCTCAGTCTACCGGCCAGGCGGCCAGGCCTCCCTACCGCAGGACTCCTGGCCTCCCATGGGCCCACACGGCCCTGGCATCGGCCCATTTTTCAGAGGAAGAGAAGAAGGTCCCAGGGGTGGTGAGTGTGGACCCAGGGAGTCAGGGAAGCGGGCTCATGCTTCCCTGGACTGGGGTGAGAGAGCACACCCCCAGTCTTGGGACCTGCAGGTAACCTCTCTCCCACCTCCCTGCCTGCTGAGCACTGCTCCAGCTCTTCCCAGAATTGCCCCTCATGAGAGCCCCCCCCATTCCACACTCCAGCTGTGTGACCTTGGGCAAGGCACAGAACCTCTCTGGCCCTCAGTTTCTTCTGCTTCTGCTCTACTAATTGGATAGGATGGTTTGCAAACCAAAGGACCTCCAAGGTGGGAAGAACCTCTGAAAACCAGTAGGTGAGGCTGGAGGCCAGGGTTCCAGATCTGCCCCCACCACCAGAGTGACCTTGAGCAGGTCTGGTCCTTCTCCAGCCTCGGTTTCCTCTTCTGTTCAAAGAGGCCGTGGGTGAAGACAGGCGCTGTTCTATCGCCCTTCCCAACCCCTCACCAAGCAGGGTCACTCTGGACTGGGGTTGGGAGGATGGGCAGGGTGGGGAAGGAAGAGATCAAGGTCAGGTCAAAGCTTGGTGGGGCCAGTGCCTGGGCCAGCCGCCGGACTGGCCGGAGGAACAGCGCCACCTGCTGTGTAGAGGGGGCGGGCCGGGGCATGTGGCTGGCAGGAGGCCCACCGGGGTGCTGGAGCAGCTGCCCAGGCCTCGCTGTCCTGGAGCCACGCGGGCTGGGGCCCCTGGGCTGGACAGGCATTTTGCACCCTCCCCGGGAAGCCCTCTTTGCTGAGGTCTCTGCATTTCAGTGCTCCCCGGGGGTGGGGTTAGTGGAGTTGTCCCCCCTGCCCTAGCTCCCAGCCCTGCGAGGAGGGGCGGGCACTGTGGGACCAGCCTGGGACCCTGATGACTGGCTCTGCACTTTGGGGCAGCTTACTCACCCTCTCTGAGCCCCAGACCCCTCAGGGAGGAGAAAGGGGTAACGAGCCCCATCTTTCAGGGCCCTAATGAGGTCATGGACACGGATCCCCCGGCACAGCTCACACAGGCAGGGCTCAACAAGGGGCTGCCCCCATTCAAATGGGGCTTTGAGGGTCTTCTGGTCCCTCACTGAGACTCATCGTGTGGTCCTGGACCAGGGCATCGACAGCGGCGAGAGCCAGTCTCGGAGGTCCTCTGGCCACTTGCCACTGACCTCAGCAGCAAGTCACGTGCCCCCTCCACCCCCACCGCCGCCACCTGCTGGGAAGAGAGGTCACGCAAGGCAGCCGGCACGCTTCTACATCCAGTTTATACACAGCTCTATACAATATACAGAAACCGTTATATACAGATATATTTATAGAATAAGCTATATTAACTTGTCTCTCCTTTTTACAGCAATATTAGTTTGGATCTTTCATACATTAAGTACAAAAAAAGTCAGGGGAGGATGGCACGGAGCGTGCAGGAGGGTCTGTGGGGCCCGGCTGCTCGCTGCCGATTGCATATGGAGCTCCCCCGGGCCCCTGCGAGGACAGGCCAGCGCATGGCTGGGAGAGCTTGTGCTGCGGGTCTGGGGGACAGAGTGGGGGTCGGTCTGAGCCGAGGTGGGTTGAGGGGGGTGGCTCAGACCCCCCAAGAGTGGTGTGGGAAGGAGGGGAGAGACCTGCAGCAGGCCCATCCTTCAGGGGTGAGGTGGGGAGGGGGCAGGGAGGGGGCTGACCTGGGGGCACCCAGGGCTGAGTCCGAGCCTGCCCCAGCCCCAAGCCTGTAACCCGGTGTGGCTGCAGCCTTGGGGGTGGGGAGTCTGTCCCTGATGGCTCAGTCCTGGGCAGGGGTGGGCACCACGCCCCCTCAGAGTTCCCGGGGCCCACCCTGGCAGGGGAGGAATTAAAAGACCAGGCACCAAGTCTCTCCCTGCTATTGGCCGGGGTGCTTGTTGGAACTTGACTCTGATTTGTGATTTGTCTTGTTTTTAAACTCTGAGAGCCACCGATTCCATCTTGCTTCTGTGCTGGGCCCGGGCTGGGCCAGCAGCGGGGCCCTCAGCAGGGGCGGGGTCCTGGAGCCTGGGGAGGGGTGGGAGTCACAGAGAGTGAGGGAGGCCCAGCTCCCAGGTCTCTGACCCCGTCTGTCAGGGTGGGCAGGGGTCCCAGGGCAGCGTCGGGGCCAGTCCCAGCTGTGTGAGTGGCGGGGTTAGGACGCAGGCCCCAGACACCAGTGGTCATGAGATGGGGGGGTCTTGGTCAGGGGGGCCTGGCCGATGCGGGGAGGCTGTGGCCGGGGTGGGGGGGGGAGCCTGCCTCCGAGGAGACGAAGGCACAAGCGGGCGGTCTACGCCTCGGCACACACCAGTTTTCCAAACGCGGGGTCAGAGCAGCAGGCAGGACGAGGGGAACGGGCGACATCGGAAACTGAGCTGGCCCCGTGCCCCCGCGTGCAGGCCCCCACCGTGGTTCCTTGGCAGGCTGGGGAGGGCAGCAGGCAGGGAGGGTGGGTGGGGTGGGGTGGGGTGTGCGCGCCAGCAGTCCCTTCCTCAAGAAGGGTGCACACTCATGCACATGCACACACATGCCCCGCGAGCATGCACACCTTCCCCACTCGGCCTCTGGGGAAAGGCCGGGGCGCCGCCTCCCCACCACTCCCCCAACCCAGCAGGGGAAAAAACCCCTCAAACGGGGGCTGTGGAGGCCTCTGGCTAAACCAGGACAGCCCCAGAGCCCCTGGCCCTCCTGCCCCCTCCGGCCCCCCATCCCCCAGGCAGTGGGCAGAGGGTCTTTGGCCAGGTCCCACAACACTCCACTCTTGGCCCCACTTCCTGCCAACAGGACATGGAGATGGAAGGAGCCCCACTCCTAGGAGAGAGGCAGCGAGGACCAGGAGCTGAGGGGAGTGGAGATGGGGTTGGTTTCAGATGCCAGGGCTGGGCTGCCAGTGCACGGTGGGTAGGTGATACAAAGGGGCTACATGGGACCCTCAAGGGCAGGGGATTTGGGCGCCCTTCTTCCTTCCAGGGCACTGACTCTGCAGCCAGGGGTGGTCATACTTGTGTTCTCCACCCTTTGAGTGGCCAGGATCCCTGGGGGTAGAAGGCAAGCCAGGAAGCAATGGGCAGGCGGGGCAGGCCTGGATGCCCAGGACCCTGTGACAGAGGGATCAGCACGAGGGGCACCGAGCAGAGGAGGGACGCTCCTGACCCCACCCCTCTTGCACACCCCTCAAGGTCGCTCGGCTGACTTGGGCCTTGTGGAGGCTGTCCCCTGACCTGCTCAGAGTGGGGTCACTGGACACATGATTGGGGGAGGGGGGGCTTGCAAGCCCAGGAAACACCCTGAGCGCAGCCCAGCAGCTTCTGTAAACATACACAGCACTGCGGGCCACCTTCGTGGGCGGTCACCCCAGGGGGCTGGCCAGCAGGCACCAGATCTGGGGGGTGGCCAGGGCAGATGCCAGCCTGGACCACAGATGAGAATATGTGGGGAGGGCGCTGCTCTCCATCTCGGCCCTAGGAGAGCAGCCAGAGGGCAGTGATGGGGAGTCAGCACGCCCAGTGCCCGTCCTGGAACAGGGGGCGCCAGGATGCCCCTGTGGGCCGGTGCTGCGCTGCCCACCTGGCAGGCTGCCCCAGGCTCCTCCCTGCTCCACACCCCTCCCCTCTCTGGAGGGCCTAGATCCCAGCCGCCTTGGTTCTGGGGATCCTAAGCTGAGGTAGGGATGCGGACCCCCAGCTCAGCGGCAGTGCCCCGTGCCTGAGGCTAAACTGGCCTCTGGGGGCCTCTCCTCAAAGCGGCCCGGCCCTGGAGGCAGCCACCAGGAGCCCGAGGGGCTACCTGCTCGGACCTGGGCCTCAGGCGACAGTCGCTCCCAGGGTGCTAGCGTGCCGAGATGACCAAGTCATCCTGCTTGGTGGGGCTGGCCCCACGGCCGGTGGGGGTTGAAGTCCGGATCTTGTCCACTGCCAGGCACTCCTGGCTGCTGAGGCCCGTGGGCGTCAGGTCCATGAGCTCGCCCGAGGAGCTGAGCGGGAAGGAGGGCGAGAGTGAGATGCCGGAGGAGGGGTCGGCCGAGCCGGCGAAGAGCCTCGGGGGCTTGGGCACCAGGTTGGGCTCGAACTGGGCACGGAGCAGGATCTCTTGCTGGCTGGGGGACTTAGGGCCCTCAGCGTAGTCGCTGGTGGGGCTCTCGGGCACCACCATGCAGTAGAGGTCCTGGAAGGAGCTGCTCTTGCTGTCCAGGTTGAAGAGGCTGTCGATGAACTCGGCGAACTCCAGCACCTGAGGGCTGGGCGAGTCCCCCAGGCGCCCGTTGTGCAGTGCCAGCTCTCCGCGGGGGGCCGCCCCGCCACCTGCCTCTTCCTCCTCTTCATGGGCTGCGGCACTGGGGGGCCGCTCAGGGGTAGCGCCCCCGCTGCCCAGGGCCGCCTCCAGGGGCTGGGTGTCCTGCGAGTGTTTAGACAGGCTGTCGGCTGCCAGCAGCTCGGTGCGCGAGCTCAGGGACGGGTTCTCCTCGGGGATGGCGGGGTCGATGTAGAAGAGGTGGCCCTCGTCGCGCTCCAGCACGGCGTGCAGGCTGGGCGAGCCCCGGATGCTGCGGAAGCCCGAGGAGCGGCGCGAGTCGAAGCTGTACAGCGACTCCGTGTCCGAGAGGCTCTCCATGGTGGCCAGCGGCGCCCGGCGCGCCTGCAGCTCCGCCGCCAGCCGCTCCTGCGTGGACAGCAGCAGCAGCTCCACGGGGTCCTGGCGGGCCGCTGCCGCCGCGGCCACTGGGGACAGCAGCCGCCCCTCCGAGAAGCCCTCCAGGCTCATCTCAGACTGGGACTTGCTCCTGCAGAGGCAGGGCAGGGAGGGGTGAGACTCAGGAGGGGTGGGGACCAACCCCCAGCTCCCCGCCTGGAGAACTTGGGGAGGGGAGGGGGGAAAGTGAATTTGGTGGTTGTTCAACAGTTTGGAGCTGGGAATCCTGACTTTTAAAAAACAACTCACAGGAACCCAAGACAGGAGAAAAAAGGGTGGAGGCTGAGTTAAGCCAGGGTCAGGGTCCTGAGGGCCTGAGGCATTGGGCTCCAGGAGCCCTGCTGGGGAACCCTGCACTGGTGCCCCGTCACTGTCCTGATGCGGGCCTGAGCTCCAGAGCCTGGCTGCCCAGGTCACCCATGAGGCAGTGTGGAATGGGAGAGGCGGGGAGAGGGATGGAAGGAGGGGAGAGGGCGGGAGGGAAGGGGGGAGGGGAGAGGATGGCACAGAGCCGCCCACACTGGTTCTCCTCCCACCCTCAGGACCAGTACCCCTCTGTGGCCCCTCCAGAGCTCTCATTACTCCCTCCCTCACACTGGGGTCCCCCTGCCTCTCCCGTGGGTTGTGGCCCTCTGCAGGACCGGGAGCCCTGGAGCCCCCCTGGGGTCACTCCGCACACCAGCCTGCAGGGCATGGGGGATGCAGCGACGGCATTGCAGCTGCAAAAGGACACTGGCGCCCTCTTCTGGTCATGCAGCCACCACAAGAAGTGCACAGATGGAGAGACGTCCAGGTGTCCCCACCAAGGGCCTGGGAAGCAGCGGCCACCTACGCAGCAGCCTGCTGGCCAGATCTGTGACCTGACTCAGGACCCGGGCATGAAGGGTCCTAGAGAGGCAGGAGGATCTCCCCTCTCAAGGTGGAGGAGGACCTCTCAAGAGCCTGATCCCCAGAGAGTGCGTGTGAATGGGGCGGGGAATGGAGCCTGTGCACACACCTCTGTGTTTACGTGGACAGTGTGTGTACCAGGTGTCTGTGTCGGCCCCCGTGTGTCCACGTGGCTGGGCTGGGCACAGGTATGTCTATGCATTTACACACATGGCTGCCTGTCCAAGTGTGTCCTTGTGTACGTGTGTCCCGGCCTGGTCTTGGTGTGTGTCCTATATGTGCAAATGTCTATATGGAGCTCCCTGTGTATTTAGAGCTACTATTTGTGAGCATATGTATATGCACATGTGAGCGCCAATACAAATGCACACGTGTGTGTGTGTGTGTGTGTGTGTGTGTGTAAGTGCCTGGGTACGTTAAGTCCGTCTGTTTGGGTCTACAGGGGTATGAGTGAATCTCTGCATTTGTGTCCGGGGGGACCATGCATCCCTAGATGCCCGCTACCCACGTGGGCTTGAGTGACGGCAGGCTGGGGCAGTGGGAGCAGAGAGAGAGCGCGAGCAGAGGGGGCGCATCCGACCCCTCTCGTGCAGGAGTGCAGAGCTGTGTGAACACACACGTGCACAAGCATACATGCTCTGAAGCCACACTTGTGGCCCCCGCGTGCACTGTCCAGGGTGGGGCCGGAGTGGGCAGGACGCACCTGACGCTGCTGTTCCGGGGATCCGCGGCGGGCAGCTCCACGGCGAGGCCAGCGGGCACGGGCGGCCCCGTGGGCAGCGGCTGCTGCTGGAAAATGAGCTCAGGCGTCAGGTCCACCTCGGTGGGGCTCACCATGACCTTGGCAGCAGAGAGCAGGGCCGTCTTCCCCTTGTTGTAGTTCTCCAGCACCTGGGGACAGGACAGGAAAGCTGGTGATGGTGGAGGGGTGACAATCACGGGGGTGGGGGATGGCAGCAGGACAAGCCTCTCAGGCCAAACAGGGCCTCCTGGGGTCAGCCGGGCCCCACTCTCCTCTTGCCCTAGTCCCTGCTTCTCCTGTAAGGCCTGGGGCTGGCCCTGCGAGTGTGCCTCACCCCACAGGTGGGCCAGGTTGGAGGTTCCCTTCCCTGGGCTCAGCCTTGCTGTGGCCAGGTGACGGCCGAGGATGCCCTTGCCTGGCTGTGCATCTGTCAGGGGCCAGCTGGTCTTCAGGGCCTCTGAGCTGAGCCTGCCTCAGGCACAGGTCCCTGGGAGACTCCCAAACTCCTCCCCGCCACGGAGCCACACAGCAGTGTGACAGAGCAGGGTGAGGAGGCCAGGATAGGAGTGGTCTTTCCAGCCCCACCGCCACCCAGCTGGGGACTCTGGCTGACCTCTCTGAGCGTCCACACCCTGGTCCGTGAAATAGGGGCAGAGATCCGCCACGCAAGACACCACGGGGCATGGCTGAGTGTCCGCCCGAGCTGCCGGGCTCACCTTGTTGAGCCCCTCCATGACCACGTAGGGGAGGTGCTCATGCAGCATGGCTGGCGAGATGATCACCTCGTTGAAGGCCTTGTTGTCACCCCAGATGGCGAAGTACGTGGGCTCCTCCTGCTCGCAGCAGCTGAGGGGCACAGGGGCCAGAGGGAGGCTGAGGGTGAGTGGCGGCCTGGCCCCGGCCCGCCGGCCCCTGGCTCTGCCCTTTGCCCTTGTGTGGCAGGGCCCAGCTCACAAGCCTTTTGTCAGGGGATGCAGCCCACGCGGGCAGGAGGGTGCAGGCCCAGCCCTCTGCAAGAGCAGGCATGAGAGATGTCTGCATGCCCCTCCACTCCCCTCTCCCTCCTGCACCCACCCCGGCCCCGCTCCCAGCTCTCTGCCAACTGATCCCGCGGTGAGGCCAAGTGACAACTAGGGTGTGAGCTGGCCAGGGCCTGAGGGTGACCCCTCCGGGGCATCCACCAGTGGGGAGAGGTGCCCTGGGGGGACACAGGGAAGGGCTGACACTGGGGACAAGGGATGGGACCGTCAAGAGAGGAGCCTGGAGTCCTGCCCTGGACTGGCCTTTTGTTCTACTTCCATGGTCAAGGCTAGGGCAACGCCTCCATGGTGGCCCGGGGCCATCGTCTCCCAGCCTCTGCCCCCAGCCCCAAGGGGTGACTGAGGGAAGGCCGCCCATCCCCCACACCCCTGGAGGACACAACCTCGGCCCCGGCCACTGCCACCTCTGCAGCTGCCCCTACCAGCACTGCTCCGCTGGGTGGTTGTGGACCACGTGGATGATGCGGCCGGGCGGGTAGAGCGGGGTGCTGGCCGACAGGGCGATGGTCAGGTCGCTGGGGTGTGTCCAGAGCCGCGTGCTGGCCAGGGTGGTCACCTCCACCTCCTCGGGCAGCTCCGACTTGGGGATGCACTTGGTGGCCCCCACGATGATTCGCCACTACGCGGGCAGGAGGGAGACAGGGACGGAGCTGAGCAGTGCTGGCAGGGTGGACAGGGGCAGAGGGGCGCTCAGGAGGAGGGTTCCCAGGGGAGCAGTGGGAGCTGGGACGGCCAAAAAGCTGCCAAGGACAGATGACGTGGGATTGTGGAACTCAGAGCTGGAAGGGGCTGGCAGACCGGTCAAGCCCTTATCCAAGGACGGGGAAACAGGCCCAGCAGGGGAAGGGACTTGTTCTCGGTCATTTCACAAGTCGGAGGCAGAACAGAGCCTGAAGTTCAGCCCAGCTGCACCCGCCCGGCCTGGCATGTCTGGGTTGGTTCCCAGCCACCTGCCTCCAGGGCCTGACAAGTACCCAGGACGGGTCTGATGGGCGCAGTCCTACATCCCGGAACTCAGCTCCTCCAGGCAGACATGGTCCCCTAAGGCTTTCCTGCCCTGTCCACCCCTGGCACCTGGCACAGGGCACAGCCTCCCAGAGGGTCACGGGCACCAAGGCTGGGACAGTCCAAACCAGGCCGAGACGATGAATGGGGTGAGGGCCGGCCTGGGGAACCCGCTGGCCCAGGTGGGCCCCTCCTGCCTGCCTCAGGGCGCCTGGCCACAGCATCCCCACCCCCTGGCCTGGCGTGCTGAAGGCCAGCTTGCCACAGGAAGAGCCCCCGGTGACCTCTGAGGACCTGAGGAGGGACGAGGGAGAGCTGATCCTCCCCTCTGGGCCGCGGCAGAAAATCGGAGCCAGCGGCACCAGATCCCTCCACAGGTGATGCCAGCCTCCCCGAGCCCGGGGCGCCACCACAGGCTGCGGACAAGGCCTTCCCATCATACACTCGAAGCACTGAGCCACGGGGACAGCACTTTCCTGACTTAAGACAGCTGTGTGATGGGAGCCAGGACTCAGGAGCCCCTGGGTCCAGTCCTGACTCAGTTACAACTCGCTGTGTGAACAAGAACAAATCTTGCACCTACTCTGGGCCTCGGTTTCCCTGTCTGTACAAAGACAGGCAGGGGTGGAGAGGATGAACTCAGTGATGCTCAGGGTCTGATGGCCTGAGGTTCCCATGACACCAAACACACCCCAGCCTGGTCTCATGTGGCTGGGCCTCTTGTGCTTTGCGCCCAGGGACAGGCAGGGCACAAGAGAGATGAGGGCCCAGTGCTGGTACCCGGGCAGGAGGGAGGGCAGGGGGCTCACTTTGGGCTTGGTGCTCCGCTGCAGGACGTCCAGGAGCTGTCTGCGGAAGCCTTCCAGCTGGGAGAGGCCAATCCTGGGGGAGGGAGCAAGACGGGGCGTCAGCTGGGCTGGCCAGGGACCAGGAGAGGTGCCGGGTGGGCCGCAGCTGGGGCAGGCCCACGCCCAGCCCCCAGGAACACGACGAGCAGGCTGGCGGGGTCACGGGGTAGGTGGAGGGGAGTCTGCTGAGGATGGGGAGGGGGTCTGGGGCCCCTCGAGGAGACGGGTGACTGAGTGAGAGGGACGTGGCGCCGGGGCGAGGCCCTGAGGAGGGAGGAACAGCGCAGGCCAGGCCAGTGGAGGTGGGGAGCGACTCACCTGGGGACGAGGTCTTTGCCCAGAACCACGGCGGTCACGAATTCTTTGGAGTATTCCATGGCGTCCTCGCTGCAAGGGAAGCCGAGGGGGCGCTAGGGCGGGGAGGGGCCCTGCTCCAGCATCCTGGGGTTAGTTAGCCTCCTGACCGCTCCCTGCCCCGCCTTTCCTGCCAGTAGGGCTTTGCTGGGGGTAGACCCCGGGGTCTGCCTGGCATTTGACAGAGCTCCACCCATCCCCAGGCCCCATGTGACCGAAGTCAGACTGCCCAGTCTAGCCCCCGCCAACTCTGCGGCCCCACGCAGCTCACCTCAGCAGGCCGCCTGGTGGGGAGTAGGCGAAGCACTTGAGGGTCGGGTACTGGGGACGCAGGAGGAAGGAGAGGATGGCAGCGGTGCCTGCACCCAGGGAGTGGCCCACCACGATCAGGCCGTAGTGTTTGGTTCCTCGGCCCTGGGGACCGAGAGCAGCCTGAGAGCCCAGCCCCGCTGCCCACCAAACTGACTGTCTGGGCTGACACCGGGAGGCAGGGGGCTCCTCCCAGGGTCCTGGGACCACGTCTGTGCTGGGTAGTTGCTGGGGCAGAGGAAAAGCCAAGCTGGACCCCCACAGAGCCACTTCCTGGGGAGACTACTCTAACAAACTCCTACTGATGCTTCAAAAACTTGCTCAGAGGTTACCTCCTCGGGGAAGCCCTCCTGGTTTTCCAGGAGAGGCTCACTCCCTCAACACTGCAAGTGAACCTGGAATAGACCTTTATATATAGTGACTACACTCTAAGATAATCGTTTTGTCACCTGCCCCCATCCCTGTGCCCTGACAACTAGACTGGGATCCCCTGAGTCCGGGGACTAGTTGGCTTTGGGAAGGGTAGTTGGCAGCGCCTTAGGAGAGTGCCCCCGACCAGAGCAGCACCCCTTCTGTCCGCTTTGTAAGTATTTTCTTTGCCATTCCGCTCTCTACTTTGGAAGCTCTGGGCCTGAACCATCTTTGTGCTTCCAGTGCCTGGCACAGAGCAGGTGTGCATAACCGGGTGGGGCCAAGCAGGGGTGCCCAGGAGGAACTGGTACAAAAGAGAAAGGGGTCAGAGGAGGTGGGAGGGACCGAGTGACGAGGAGGCTGGGAGCCAGGGATCAGAGGACAGCGTAACAGCCCGGCCTGTGGGGAGGGTCTGTGTTCACCCATCCTGTCCCCAACCTATTGCCCTGGGGGAGGGAGAGCCAGGCATGGGGAGGGCTCGGTGGCATGCAAAACGCCTCACCAGGTCTCGCCCGAAGGCCTGGGACAGAACCATCTCCTGCTCCAGCTTCTTCTTGATGTACTCAGCCGAGAGGACCATCCCCTGGGTGAGGAGGAACAGAGGTGGGTGTCTTATGGAGGGAGGGAGGCCCCTCCAGGACCAGAGACCACAGGGACCAGTGGCTCACTAACCATGTCCCGCTCTGGTCCACACGACCACCCGGCTGTGGGGCTGGCGGACGTTTCATCACACTGTTCCCATTTCACAGATGAGGAAACCAAGGCTCAGAGGGGTTGTGTCTACCTAACCAGTGTGACCTCCCAGCTGCCTCGTCAGGCTCTTCTGCGACAGGATGGGGGCCCAGCAGGGCTGTGGGGGCCCCAGCAGGAGGCTGCAGGATTCCTTCCAAAGGAACCCACGCCTCTCTGACCATCTCCCCCGGGGAGACCCGCGAGCAGAGAGGAGCCCCTACCCCAACCACAGGACAGGTCTGCGCGGCAGCAGAGAGGGGAGAAGGCAAGGGGCCATCGGGGCCCAGGAGGAGGGGTACCTTGTGTCCCAGCCAGGTGCCATGGTGCCCCTCCACAGGGAGGCGCTCGGCGTCACCGGTCAGGTCTGTCAGGGCGTCCTATGGGGAGAGAGGACAGGTGGGGGCGGGGCTGAGGAGGACAGGAAGAGGGAGGTGGGCACCCCTCGGGGGGTAGAGGGGGTCCACGGCAGGGGGCTGGGAGCCACTGGCAGGGTACCTTGGGGGACAGGGTTCCCCGGATGCTGATCACCACCTTCTTCTTGTCATGGTCCACGGCCACGTAGAAGGGGGTTTCGTAGACCTAGGAGGAGGTGGCTCGTGAGCCTGAGCAGCCCTGGGAAGTGGCCAGACTCGGGGAAGGGACCTTAAGGAGGTTTCCCCAGCCAGGAGATCTGACTCTGTGAGGCACTGGGCTGCTGTGAGACTGCCGGGGCTCCCAGGGGTCGTGGTAGATCCCTCCGACCAGCACCCAGCCCTCCCAGCTGCTCTGACTCGAGCAGCCCTGAGCGCTGCCTCCAGCCTGCGGAGTCCAGAGGGGCTGCCCCCTCCCCAACCCTCACCACTTCTTCCCCCTCTCTCTCCCCAAACGGCTGGGGCAAGGAAGCCCCAGTACTGGGTGTAGGGCTGGGGTCCGCTTCCTGCCGCAGAGGGGGTGCAGGCCAGGGGGTGGGGAGAAGGAGGGGCCCACCTCTGCCTGCCCCCTTGGGAAGGCCTGGAGGCCGCTGCTGGCAGTGCCGGCAAAGCCAAGGGCTCCCACAGCCTGGGAGGACGGCTCGGCACTCCCGGCCCCAGCCCCCAGCCCCGCCTGCGCCCGGAGCCTGCAGAGGACAAAGGCCCACCAGCCCCTCACCGCATCGTGGCAGGAGGTGTAGACGATGTCCACTGCGGTCATGTTCTCGTCCAGGAAGTGGCGCCGGATGGCAATGGCATTGCAGCCACAGCAGTTGTCCTCCTCGATGGTCACTCCAGGGGCAAACCGGGGCCGCGCGGGGCACAGGCAGCACCTGGGGCAGGGGACAGAGGGTTCAGCACCGGGGACCCTCCATTAGAGCAATATCCCCCTCCCAGCCTCTCGGGACCCTGCTCTTGCAGCACCCCCACTGGCCCCCGTCTCCAAACCTCCCGGGTTAAGCTCCACCGGCCGGTTCCCAGCCCTCCCCCGACATGGCCTCTTGGCAGCATGTGACCAGTGGGCCTCTCCCTCCCCTCAGAAATCCCCCCCCCACTCACAGGAGGCACCTCTCTCCTGGGTGGTTCTCCCTCACTGGCAGCCTGCCTGGCCTCTCCCCGAGGGCCTAGAGGCCAGGTCTGGACCTCCATTTCCCACTGGCTACACCCGCTCCTGTGGGGCCCCATCCACTCTCAGGCCTGCTCATGGCCTCCGGACGCTTCCACCCAACCACCCCCGTCTCCTCTCAGACCTCCCACAGGGTCGCAACCTCTCCAGGTCCCAGTGCCCGATGGCCCGCCCCCACAGGCTCCCTGCAGTCCTCCACATCCCCCGCTCATTGCTGGGCCCTACTCTGGGGCCACCTGACTCCAACCACTTCCCTCGCCGCCACCCCTCCGCCAGCTCCGAGCTGCCATTCTCTCTGCCTCGGGGTGTCGCAGTGGCCTCCTGATTGGTCTCCCTCGCCTACAACTGCCCCCTACATTCTCAACTTGGCAGCTAGGACCCCCTTTACCCTGTAAGTCAAGCCACGTTTCTTCACGCAAAACCCTACAATGCCGCCCGCCTGCCCAGTGGAAAAGCTGTAGTCCACGCAGGGGCTGAGTCCCTGCCCCATCTGGCCCCGCCCAGAACCAAAACAGTGCCAGGCAGACAGCAGGCTCCCAGAATGAACAGGTGAGCGGCTAAGCTGGGCACCCAGCTAGGGGTGCAGCTGCTCCTCAGGCCACCAGAGGGAGCCAGCACCCAACAGATGGGCCCCGGAGCCCTGAGAGCATGTGACCCATTCCTGCCAGCTGTCTCGAGATGACAGCTGAGATTTTATTAAGAATCATGAATTTCAAGGATGCTGAAAGGTTTGTCTCCACTTGAGCGGCACCTGAGGGACTGTTACATACTTTTCAATAGGGAGAGGCCTTGATGAGAAATCCCAGGGTCAGGCCAAGTCTGGGAAGCCACCGGGCCTGGGGTGGGCGACCACTTCCATGCACGCTGGGAGGGCCGCCCAACACTGCCGGGCCAAGCGGGGGTGGGCCTGGGGCTCAGGGTGGGCCCCTTCTCGGGCAGCTGTCTCTGTACCTCAGCCCCGTCCTCTGGCACCGAGCACATGGACACCACAGTGTGGCCTTTGGAGACAGAGTCCTGGGCTTGAATCCTCGCTCTGATGTGACCCTTCCTGACTGTGAGGGCCTGGAGGGCGCTAGGCCATCCAAAGCCTCAGTTTCCTCCTCTGTAAGAGAAGCTGCTGACAGCTACTTGGCAAGGCTGGTGTGAGACCACAGGCCCCAGATGCAGAAAGAACACACAACAGGCCCTCGATAACTGCGGGCTCCCCCTCTCTCCAGGCAGAGGGCTGCCTCTGAGTCCGTGATCGGGGGCCAGGGACCCGAGGACAGCAGCAGCCCAGCAGTCTGGAAGGGAGGGGCCCGTGGCATCTTTGAGGGCAGTGTCCCCGCAGACAGGAGGCCATGGGAGCCTGAGCACCCTCAGGGGCAGGGCTGGAGCTGAGTGGGGTCTCCCGAGGGTGGTGGGGCCGTAGGCAGGCCTGGCTGGCATGCTCTGCGTGGGACGGGAGAACCTCTCCCAGGTGAAGGGTGTGGGCCCAAGGGGGGTGGGCAGCCCTCCTTCCTCCCGCCAGTGCTGGCACCCTGGGCTGCACTCAGAGAAGGGGGCCTGGCCCTCTGGCCTCTATCCCGACATCCTTGGCTGTAGGCCTGGACTCCAGGCCTGCCTCCTCTGTCCCCCAGGCACCTGGTTCTTCCAGGCGGGGACCCAGCTGGGCCCTCATGGTGTCCAGGGACCCTCTGCTCCCTCTCCCTGCAGCAGTGAGCTGTACAAGACGCCAACATCCCTCCTGTCTACAGGGCACTTCAAGGGCCCAGCCTGCCAGTGGCTCCCTGGCTTCTGAAATATCCTGCGGGCAGGCAGGACGGACACTGCCTGTACAGTGATGTCCCCACCCTGCCCGCGAGTAAAGGAGCAGGGCCTGTCAGAGCCCAGGTCTCAGGACTCCTGGTTCAGTGCTCATTTTGAGAAGCTTCCTATCCGTGGCGGGGACTCCCAATGACGCTGGGAGGAATGCCAGCTGTGTGCCGGCCGGCAAAGATGCAGAGGGGACATGGGGTGCCCTGGTCTGCTCTGCCAGTTGCTGGGGGATGGTGAGAACAAAGTCTGGGAGCCACTTGCTTTCTGGAGAAGTACGGCCCCGCAGGAGGGGTGTGGCTTCCATAGGCCCCAAGGGCAGGGTGTCTTGGACAGAAGCTGCCCGCCCAGCATGCCAGCCTTTCCAGAACAGGGAGCTGCCCTCCTGCCTGGCCTGGGGAGAGGGCGGAGACATCAAGGATGGGGAGGGGCCCTCCCGGAGCTCTGTCCTCAGCTGGCCACTTAGGAAAGCAGAGTCCACCCCAGGCCTGGATGCTGGCTGGGCTGAGGGTGATGTCCAACCGCAGGCAGGTCCTGGGCTGAGGCCTTGCCAACTCCTGGTGAAAGGTTTGGAGCCTTTCACAAAGGGCCTTCTCCAGGCCTTTCCAGAGGCCTCTATGGATTGGACCTCTACCAGGAAAGGCCTTTCTTTCAAAAAGGCAGAGCACAGGAGGGTTGTGGGGAGGAGAGAAGCTGTGGGCAGAGGGGAGGGGTTGAGAGGGGCAGGGAGGGAGACGGGAGGAGAACCAGCAGTGCCAGGTACTGGGCAACATCTCATGGAAACCATGCCAGGAAGTATGTAGCACCATGCCCACTTTACAGATAGAGACTGACGTTTGCAGAGGGAGACGAACCTGCCCAGGGCTGCAAGGGACAAAGTCTTGATTCAAAGCCGGAACTGTGTGATTCCAAAGCCAGCACTCCTCCCCACCCAGGGACGATGCAGAACCAGAAAGGTCGAGGTCCAGAGATGGGGCGGAAGAGAAGCAACGCAGGCCGCAGGGGAGGTTGGGCGGGCAGCAGGCACAGGCCGGTTAGGGAGAGCCTCCCACGGGCAGGCGCCGCCCCATGACCTCAACCTGTTGTCCACACCTGCTGGCCGGCCGGGAGGACGGGACGGGTACTCACGAGCAGGACCGCGCCAGCTGGCAGAGGCCGCAGGCGGGCTTCCGCATCAGGTACATGGGCCAGCCGTAGGCGGCCAGGGCGAAGAGCATATAGTAGCAGACCTCTTTGTAGCGCAGCATCTCTTGCTGGAAGAGAGGATGCGGAGGGCAGTCACCCCCTGCCCTTCCCGCCTGCAGCCTCAAGGCCCCTGGGCGCCCCTCGATGGGGAAGGGGGCTCCCTCCGAGGCTCCGCAGGGGCTGCAGACCCCGCCACCGGCCCTGCAGGAGGGACTGCTCCTCCAGATGATAACTGCATTTCCCTAATTATCTCCACGCAACCAGTGCACGAATCCTCCGAGAGCTGTCCTGTTGCTTCAGTCTCAGAATTAACGATTTGGGGACAGAAAAATGCTCGGAGCCCTGGATCGATTTTCTTGCCCATTTTCCTGAGAAGACAGGGGGAGGCATGGGCAGCCATCACCCCTCCTCAGCCATCAGGCCCTGGGAAGGGACATTTAACCCTGAGAGGCCCTGGGCCGTCCGGCTGGCGGTGTCCGGGCCTCGAGCAGACACTGGAGACACTGACATGCTGGGTGACCAGACATGTCGCCAACCGTCTCGGCCTCAGGGTCTCTGTCTGCAGATATAGGAGACTCCAGCTTGACTCAGGGAGTCACAGGCTCCCAAGGGGCGTCTGGGGCAGATTGGGATCTCCCGGGAGAAAGGCGCCGGTTGGAAACCGGGCGTCTGAGGCAGCGGCTGCTGTTATCAGTCTGCTGGGCAGAGGGAGCGGGAGGCACAGGTGCCCAAGCGAGGCGGCTTCCGCGTCCCGGGGCCCCAGGCAGCGGAGGACTCCTGCACTTACACTTAGAGGGAATTAGTCACCTTGTAAAAGTTACAGAGGGCCATTAGTCATCTTGTGAAGTTCAAGAGGCAGCCTTAATCAGGGCCCGGGGCGGGCTGGGGGGGGCCGTCCCTGGGCGGGCTCCGTCTGCTCTTCAGGAACCAGCCAGAGAAGGTAATTATCCTCCTGCGCTCCTGGCAGGGCGGGGCACGTAGCCTCTGCCAGGTGGCAGCGGGACCCCAGCCCCTCGAGCCATGGCAGCCTGACCCCTTCTCGCCTAGTGGTCAGGGGTGGAGGGAGGGGTGGTGAGAGTGAGCCAGGGCAGCCCTGGTCAGCGGGGACAGGCTGTTTTCAGAGGGGACACAACTCCTGCTTTGGGGGGTGGCGGCAGATGGAGAAATGAGGCTGTTCCGGGCACTGAGGTGCAAGGAGTGGATCCTTCTAGTAGCGTCCCGACTGGCACCGTCGTTTACTGGCACCACGCTGGGATCGGGACTCAGGATGGCTCATCTCCTCCCCACCAGGGCTCTGGTGGGAGGTGTGCCCAGCGCCACCTTATACCCACAGGAATGGGCTCAGAGGGCATCAGGGACTTGCTCAAGGTCACAGCGTGGAGCTGCTGCACACCAAATTGGTCTACTCTGGAGGCAGGGCTGGCTGTACCCCCACAGGGCGGGTCCATCTCTACCTGTGACACACATGCTGGATTTCTATTAAAGGTGCCTGCGAAGAGGTTCAACTCCTCAAAAAGGCTTAAAAACCAAAGTGCTATGTCTCGCTGCCTTTTTTTTTCCTGAGGAAGACTGGCCCTGAGCTAACCTCTGTGCCCATCTTCTTCTGTTTTATATGGGGGATGCCTGCCACAGCACGTCCCACAGCATGGCTTGATAAGCAGTGTGTAGGTCCGCGCCTGGGATCCGAACCAGCGAGCCCCGAGCTGCCAAAGTGGAACTCGTGAACTTAACTGCTACGCTACCATGCTGGCCCTTCACTGCCTTTATAACAACCACAGCAATAATAATACCAGCTCACCCTCATGGAGCACTTTGTCACCTTGAGAGGCTGGGACAAGACATTCTGAGCACGGACAGGCAGATTTGGGGGTTTCACTGTAGGACCAGCATGATGGGGAGATTCTCGGGAGGAAGGTGGCGGTAGCTGAGAAGAGAAGCTGTCTGGAGAGCTGAGGGGGGACTCGGGACAGAGCAGGTGTGGCTGATGCTGTGACTGCACAGGTCATTCAGCAAAGGGAGACAGGGATCCAGCCAGGGCGCTGGGGGGTGGGGGTTGGGGGGAGGTGTGGTTCTGACTCACCGAGTTCTTGAGGTCGAGGTACTTGGTGTTTCTGGTCACGGGCATCCCAGACAGGAAGGCCAAGATGTCATTGTTGGCCTGTAAGACAGGCTTGTGAAGGTGGCTGCCCAGATCCAGCTGCATGGCTGAGAGGGGCATCCAGGCCCCCGGGCTCTACGCCCATCCATTAGGCATCATCCATCAGGCCCCTGTGGTTAGAAGGCCCTGCGGCCAGCCTGGGCAGCAGCCACACACGGCCCAGCAGAGGGAAGTCACTCAAGCAAGAGCCGTGAGTGGCTGGCTGAAGGGATGAGCTGGGGAAGGGAGGGGAGCGAGCATCACGGGGTGACCTCTGGGGCCCAAGACGGTGCACGGAAGCTGGGCAGCGGGGGCAGCTGGGGCGGCGGGGGCGCCTGGGAGGAGGCCGGTGTGGGGAGGCTGCCTGGAGAAGGACCGGGTGCTCACCTCGTCCAGCACGGCGTTGCGCTTGGCCCTCTGCCGCTGCCGGAGCAGCACCAGGCCGGCGATGATGTCGGACGGCACGATGTCGAGGTCTCGGAAAAACTCAGCGAAGAGGTAGGCGATTTCCGAGTAGGCATCCTGTGAGGTCCAGGGAGGCAGGAGGCAGTGGCAAGGGAGCAGGAGAGAGGAGGAGAGACCAGGTGTGAACCCCCGGGGTGGGGTGTCCTCTCCGGGCCCCCTCCCCAGGTTCACCCCGGCACCTCCTTGGCGCCAGCTGGGCCTGACCCCGGGCGGCCCTCTGCAGCCCTGACCCTGAGGGCCCTGTCCTGGGCTCTGGGCTCCCGCCGAGCTGGCAGTGGCTGCCTGAGACAACCCCTGACCCTTCTCCGTCCTCCACCTCCCGGCCCTCTTCTGTCCTCGAGCTCCTACGGCACTCACCGTCGACCACGCACAGATGCCAACGTGAGCCACTTCCTGTTCTTTCCCCAGACACTAGGAACCAAGCCCTGCACGGCCCGCTTGTTTCTCCTCCGGCCTTTCTCTCTAGCAGAGAAGCCAAAACTAAGCTCCTGGCTGCTTCCTCCCCGACTGAGTTTCTTCCCACCTCCCGCCAGCCGTGACCTTGAAAGGCCCCCAAAGGGCTCTGTGGAGCCCCTGGGTCTCAGGCCCCCTCCCACACCTGCCCGCGGCTGCAGGCTCGGGGACCCCCACGTGTGCCAGGAGAAGTATGCGATGCTGGGCCAGTAGCTCCTCTGGCTTCCCCCGAGCCCTGTCCTCAGGACAGCCCTGCCTAGGAGGCAGCCCTGCCGGCTGATGCTGAGTCTTCCCTGCGTCACCCCAAGCAGGAGGCTGGGACCTCTTCCCTAACCTGCTGGAGAGGCCGTGGTGGGAACAGACTCATGGCAACTGGCTCTCTCGCGCGGGGCTCCTGCCCGGAGTGTCTGGCTTTCGTAAGAGAAGAAAAACCCAGGGATGCAAACTCGAACACTTAATGGGGCCAAACAGAAGCTGCTACTGCTCAGCTCCAGCTGACCAGCCCTGTGAGGGGCCCACGTTGCCAGATCCAGAAATATGGAAGTTTACACAAACGCCCTTGATTTTTAAATGTTGGCATCCAATTCAAACATGTAAGCAACACAGCCATCGACTGATCAAAGCGTGCTCTAGGGGCCGGCCCAGTGGCATAGTGGTTAAGTTCACACGCTCCACCTCAGCGGCCCGGGGTTCACTGGTTTGGATCTTGGGCATGGACCTGCACATGGCTCATCTAGCCATGCTGTGGCGGCATCCCACATAGAGGGTCTAGAAGGAATTACAACTAGGATGTACAACTCTGTACTGAGGCTTTGGAGAGAGAGAGAAAAAAAAAGGAGGAAGACTGGCAACAGATGTTTGCTCAGGGCCAATCTTCCTCACCAAAAAAAAAAAGAAGAAGAAGAAGAAGAAAGAAAGAAAACCATGCTCTGGACTGGACCCCTGGGCTATCAGTGTTTGATGGGACCCAGGGTCTGGGCCCCTCTATGATGGGCTGCCTTTCCCCCCCGCCCCTGCTTTTTTCTCCCCAACTCCCCCCAGTACATAGCTGTATATTTTAGTTGTGGGTACTTCCAGTTGTGGCATGTGGGACATTGCCTCAACATGGCCTAATGAGCGGTGCCATGTCCACGCCCAGGATCCAAACCGGCAAAACCCTGGGCTGCCGCAGCGGAGTGCACGAACCCAACCTCTCAGCCACGGGGCCAGCCCCTGGGCTGCCTTTTCACCAGGTTCCAGCAGCAGACTCTGCTCTGTGCCAGGAGGGGTGGGCGTGTCCCCGTGGGCCCTGGCAGTGGCGAGGAGGCTGCTCCCTGCCTTCTGCCTGGTCTGCCTGTGGCCCAGGCCCTGGACTATGACCCCTCAGGACTCCCAGAGAGGCCCGTGGGGGGCTCCCCACCCACCAGGGAACCTCGGGGGCTTTCTTACACTTGATTACTCACTCTATGGCTCACCAGGGGCTGCGGATGGGCAGGAGCCACTCAAAGCTTCTGGTGGCTTCCGCGGAGGGCACTTTGCTGTCTGGCTCAGGCAGGACTGGTCTCCTGACCTCAGTGGCTCTGCCACTAACTAGCTGTGGGACACTGAGCAAGTCACTCCACCTCTCTGGGCCTCAGCTGCCCGATCTGCAAAATGAGGGGTGGCTGGATGATCTCTAAGGGCCCTGCCAGCGCTAGGGGCTCCATCTTGAGGACCCTGCCTCCCTCCCCTGGGGCCGCCCTGCTGCCTTCCTTCTGCGGCACGCTCTTGTGAGAAGCCTGGCCCCTGTGGTTCCCAACGCGCCCGGGTGCGGAAGGCTGACTGCGCGTCAAGGACCACACTGAGCACTTCAGAGCTGTGATGGGTCTTCCAGAGAAACCCACAGCTGGTGACACGCTGCTTCTTGGTCTCCGGGTCGTCCTGATCTTTGAGTCTCTCTTCCCCTGAACTAGACCCTAAGTTCCAAGGGGTCTGTTCCCTTGACAAAGCGAGGGGTGGCCAATTCACACGCGCGTGAGTCGCTCAGTGAGGAACAGCTCCTCCCACCAGCAGCTGTCCCCCTGCTCCCGCTCACGGCCCAGCCTCCCTCCACCAGCCCCGCCCCACCCGGCCCTGCTGACAGCGGGACTGCAGCCCAAGGGAGGCGACGTCCTGGTACTTACTGACTGCGAGTCCTTCGTCCTGGTGCAGCAGAGGAACACTTTGAGCCGGCGTGACCAGCTGGTGGCCTGACCCTCCTCTAAGCGGTGCCTGCAAAGGGGGACAGTTGCTCTGTGTGAGGTCAGGGGGCTAGATCAGAAGAGCCGGGGCCCGGATGTAATGGAAACAGGGCGGCCTGTTCCCAGGACCCCACCAAAGGGCTCCCCGGCAGGGGGTGTGGAGGAGGACAGGGCCCAGGCCTGGCCAAACTGGGTGGCCAGTGACCTGGCTGTTGGCCAGCAGAGCACTCCTGGGGGGCACTCCTGCCATCGGCCAAGGCCGGGACTGAACGCCAGCATGCCCGGGGGCTCCGGAGCTGGGAACCCAAAAGTGGGCGCTGCTCTGAGGCCCAGGTGTCCTAGTCTCCAACCAAGAGCCCTGGGAGATGGCAGCAGGGTGCTGGGCCTCTGACTCATCCCAGGGCCTGGAGCAGACCTGCTTCCCTCAGAAAGGATTTCAGATACTCACCTTCTCTGTGCCTGGGGGAAGACGAAGGGGCTGGAGGAGGCCCTGAACATTAGAAGGGCAGGGCCCCACCCTTCACTGCACGGCTGGCCCTGTCCTTTCCCACCCCCAGCCCCAGTCCCAGGGAGTCTGGATGCTCGGATGGGAGTCAAGGCACCAGGAGTCTGCACCCAACGGCAGAGCGACTGGCCAGTTACCCACGGACGCCCTTCCGATGCTGGTGCCAGAAGCCGGTGTGTTTCGGGCATAAAGATAACAAATGCAATGTTAAAAATGCACATTTCCAGACTGAGCAAGAAGGGGCCCACTTGCTCTTATGACATGCGCCCTCCTGCTGGCCCCTTCAGAGCCTGACGCCAGCGGGCAGTAGGAGGGAAAGGCACAGGTGACCCCGAGGGCATGCAAGGCACTTAGCATCCATCAGGAGTGACAAGCTGGGCCCTCCTTCCCGAGCTTCTTGGCTCCTCTCAGCGGCAAAAGGCCGCTTCCTGCTCCCAGCCCTGGCTCCACAAGGCAGCGGGTGACAAGGACAGTGGGGAGCCACAGGGCCTTCCAGGGCTACCGGGGGCCATTAGGAAAGTGTGCAAAGGAATTGCTGTTTCTGGGATCTGCAAGCCCTAACGGACTCGGGCAGCCTTACATCCTGAACCAACGTCCCACCTGCCAGCTGCTTGATGAAGGGACAGCATGCTAGGCAAGCTGGGCTCCCCAGGCATCACATTCTTAAACCCATTCTAACCTAACGGGGCTTCTAACTTCCCCGGGAAGTTCCAGCTGATGGAAGCGCTGACCAAACACTTGACTGCAGTACCCGTTCTGCCCACCAGGGGGCAGGTGGAGCCGGTGACAGGTTTGGTCTAATGCATCAGTCTGGCTCCGGAGACGAAGACGGGGAGAGACATATGAAATCTGCACAGAAAGTTCGCGGACCAGCACCCCTCTGCCCAGTGGCTCAGTATCATGAAGGGAGAATAGACACTCCTTCTGCAAAGATCCAAGGTCGAGGCTCCAGGGAGTAGTGCTGGGAACGACCCATCTCCCAAGCCCCACCAGGTTTCACTGGAAGGAAAAAGGGACAAGGACTCGAGCATCTTCCTGACTTCCAGAAACTAAAACAGCCTGTCGGTGAGGCACAGCGGGTCTGTGCATGTCCCCAAACCTGGAAGTGGGTGAAGGGTCAGTGGGCTTGAAAAGGTCCCGGTTAGAAAAACTGTCTGCTGGTTTCAGAGCAGAGGGAGGGCGACTGGAGAATGGCCTGAGAGGTGGTCATGTTAACCGAGGCATGCCCAGCCCCGTCCAAGAGCTGGAGGAACCCCAACAGGTCCGGAGACTGCAGGAAGAGCTTCTCATAAAAATGACAGCCGTGGGTCAGCCCGGTGGCACAGCAGTTAAGTGTGCCTGTTCTGTTTCAGCAGCCCGGGGTTCACCGGTTCGGATCCTGGGTGCGGACATGGCACTGCTTGGCACGCTATGCTGTGGTAGGTGTCCCACATATAAAGTAGAGGAAGACGGGCATGGATGTTAGTTCAGGGCCAGTCTTCCTCAGCAAAAAAAAAAAAAAAAAAAGAGGAAGATTGGCAGCAGATGTTAGCTCAGGGCTGATCTTCCTCAAAAAAAAAAAAAAAATGACAGCTGCCACCAGCCCCCACTGCCAGCTGCCCTGGGCCCCAAAGGCAATTACCCAGAGTCAGGGAGGGGAGACTTTTTTCCAGGGCCCCAGGAGCCCAGAAACCAGGTCGGGTGGGGGGCATGTGCTCAGAGTGAGCAAAGTGGGAGGGGTGGCCACCAGCTGTGCCGGGAGGGAAAACGGGCTCCCGGGCCTTGGCTCCGAGACCTGGCATTTCGGGCTGGGAGGTGGCCAGCCCAGGCGCGGGTGTGGCTCCTGCTGCGGCGCTGAGCTGACGTGGAGAGCCGGGGGGAGCCGAAAGAAGAGGCCGGGGAGGGTGGGGTGGGGGGATTTCTGCTGGACTTGGGGGCCTGGGCAAGCCGCTCCGCTACCTGAGGGGTCCTGACCCTGGTGCTGTGGGCTGGGGATGGAGCGCTCCACCGTGACCTTGAGAAAGGTGACCTGCCCTCTCTGGGATATGGACTCATCCATAGAATGGGTCTCACTATAGCACCAGGGCTGGCGAGAGGAGGGAGCCGACTGCTCGTGGAAGGGGCTCAGTGCAGGGGCCTAACTCACGGTGGGAGCTCGATTATTGGGAGTTCCTGTGACCCACCCTGGAAGCCCCCCAGTCTTTTTCTTTCAGTAAACGGGAATTACTGAGACCCTGTCTGAACGCCTTCCCTCATCTTCTCTGCCATGGCACAGCTTTCCCCCTTCTTCAAGCACCATACCAAATCTACCCCCTCCAGGAAGCCTTCCTTGATTAACCTCCTCCAGCCCCTTGAATACTAGAGGCAGCCTAGCTTAGTGGTTAAGTACAAGAGCTCTCCAGTTAGACTCCCTGGACTTGATCTCGGCCCCATCATGTACAGTCTGTATTATCTCAGGCAAGTCACATAACCTCTCTGTGCCCCAGTTTCTTCATCCGTATTACGAGGATGATGGTAACAGCTACCCCATAGAGTTATTGTCAGTTAATATCTGCAATGCTTGGTCGGTGTATCCACCCTTCCTGCTGTTACCATCATTGTCGTAGCACTGAAGATGAAAACAAGGCTAACAATGGCTACCGTTCACTGAGCAGGTACCAAGAATGAGCATTGTGGGAACCATCGTGTACATATTATCTCATTTAAATCTCACAGCAGAAGCACGAGGCAGGAACTGTCATTATTCCCAATTTACAGACCAGGAAACAGAGGCTGGGAGAGGCTGAGCCCTTGACTGTTCACACAGGTTGAGACGCAGCTTGGGAGGCGCAGGGCCAGCCCCTGCCCTCCCCTCAGCAGACCCACCCGCCCCACCAACTGACCGCAGGTTGTAGGTCCGCAGGTTGCGCTGCCTCCTCTTGGTGGCTCTGAGCTTGACGAAGGTGCGGCCCGTGGGGTCGAACACACAGAGGACAGTGATGCAGACGCTGAGGATGACCACCCAGTTGCAGACGACCATCCCTGTGGGGGCAGCAGTGGGACACAAGAGGTGCTGCGGACACCTCCCTGGCTCACCAGCTCTCAAGAAAGGGGCGCTGGAGCCTCTCTCCCCGCAGCTGCTTCTGAGGCCCACCAGCAAGGTCAGAAGCCCCTGGCCGCAGCCTCTGGCCACGTGGCCATCCCTCGCTGAGCCGTGACCCCAAGGCCCACCCTTGGCACAGAGCAGACGGCTCTGTGGGTTTCCAGCGAGGCGTCGAGGGGCCCTCAACTGTTGCCCTAGGCGGCTGTGCCTCCTGCTGCTCCCCCAGACCAGGGTCCCCCAAGGGGGGATGGCAGATCACAAGGAAGAAGGCCACAGACCGCCCAGCCAACCCGCCGGCATCCTCACAGAAACCATTTCCTGCCGGTGGTGCCCAAGCTTCCTCTTCTCTAAACCGGCTCTGTCCCTTCCACCCTGGGCTGGCAGACATACCGAGGGTGACGTTCTTGGCAGTGAGGTCATTACAGGAGGTGTAATACTGAGTGAGCCAGACGATGCCCACGATGGCATAGATGAACTCGATCACCAGGATGGCTGCAAGGAGAGCAGGGCCCCGGCTGAAGGACGGCTACCGTCTGCCCTCCAGGGAGGCCCCGGAACCCTGGCCTGGTCCCTCCTACTGCGGGGCCTCCAACCAGCTCGCTAGCAGGGGCATGGGACCACCCACCGCCCCCTGCCACACAGGCCGCGACGGGGACGGGCCCAGGGAGGTGGTTGTCCCACCACCATTCTGTCCTGTTGTGATGCGCCCACCTCCTGTCCTAGCTCACGGGCCCTCAGGCCCCGACACCTCCCCAAGAAGGTGACCGGATGATGACAGGCATCGCCCTGTTCTTTCACGATTTTAGAATGACATCCACGAACTCCGGAATCAACGTATTTTAGGCAAGTTAACTAGCCTCTCTGAGCTTCCGTTTCACCGTCTGTAAAGTGGGGGTGACAAGGTCTACATTACAGGACTACGTGCGCTTGGTGGAAACTGCTGTTTCCCAGGAAGAGGGCTCCAGCACTTGAGGCAGGAGGAGGGAGGGAGGGAGTCGGGGGGAAGCTGGCCAAGCCCTAAGCCCAGGGCTGACATGGGGTCAGGGAGGGGGATCCGGCAGCCCCGGAGGAGACAGTGTTGGAAGAGCTGGCTCCACAGGCAGCACCATGTGGCAGCTAAGAGCCCAGACTTTGGGGCCAGACAACCCAGTTCAAATCTCAGCTCGGACACTCACGCATTTACTAGCTGTGTGACCTTGACCTCCCTGGGCCCCAGATGCCTCATCTGTAAAACAAGACCGATAACAGCTCCTCCCTGAGTTAACACGGGGGAAAAGGGCTTAGCACAGTTCCTAGAAGCACAGTGGACGTGTTCACTAGGAAGGACCAGAAGCCCAGCAAGAAGACAAAGGCTGGCCCCCCAGGGAGCTGGGTCAGGCCCGAGGAATCCCAGAAGAGGGGACAGTTTGGGGAAGGGTCACAAAGCAGCTGAAGAGATGCACGTGACCTAGAGCAGAGGTTGGCAAACTTTTTGTGTAATGGGCCAGAGAGGAAATATTTCAGACCTTGCGGGTCACGCTCTCTGTCGCAACTACTCAGCTCTGGTGTTGTCACGAAAAAGCAGCCAGAGACTGTGAGCACATAAATGAACGGGTGGGGCTGGGTTCCAATAAAACTTTATTTACAGCAATAGATGGCGGGCCAGATTTGGCCCTCAGGCTGTGGTCTGCCCACCCCTGGTCTCGAGAGTAAGCCCAGTAAGTCTGTTGGTTGGCCGCTGTACACCGGTGCTGGCGGAGGGCCTGGCCCATTGCATGTGCCCAACACACGCTGGCTGAATGAAGCATGGAGCACAGGAGGAGGGTGGAGGTGGGGGTGGTCCGGAGCAGCCCCCCAGCCGAGGCAGGTGGCCCTTACCCAGGCGCACGTAGAGCACGTACTGCATGGATTCGCGGGGCTCCGTGTAGAGGATGCCCCCGCGCATGCTCAGCCAGATGATGGCCATCTCGGCGATCATGCAGCTCAGCAGGATGCCCAGGTAGCCGCGGCCGTGGTCCACCAGGTTCAGGGAGCAGGCCTCGTGCGGGTTGTAGACCAGGCCGAAGAGCACCACAGACAGGATCACAAACCTGGGGGGACACCCGCGTGAGGGCCCGGCAGCCTGTGCGCCCCCCACGGCCCCTGCAGGCAGGCCCTGCCCACGTGGGTATCACCCTAAGGGGGTCGGGGTTTCAGACACCTCCTCCTGGGAGCGTGACAGGGTCAGGACAGATGGCCGGAAAGCCTCCTTCCAGGCCTATGCAGGTGTGGCCCTGAGACTCACCAGGTGGTGTGCAGGAGGAAGAGGAAGATAGCTGGCAGGACGAGGTCATCGCTGCCCACAGACCAGCGCCGCCGGAACACCACGATCCCGGGCATGGCTGGCTGCTGTGCGGAGGCTCAGCGGGCCTGACACTCACCTCCTGAAAGAGAGCAGAGGACCCTGTGGCTGCCCGGGCCGCTGTGGAACCGGGCCACCTCACTCCCAGCCAGCTGTGCCCAGCAGCACAGGCATTTCTCCCAGACCCCACGGCCTAGGGGCTTCCAGGCCACTGGAAATACTGACCCATCCCTGTGCAGGACCGCCTCCCGCCCTATCTACCGCCCAGAGCCAAGAGGAAGGACCTCAGCAGCCACAGCGGCTTTGGTGTGAGGTCTCTCCTGCACCCCAGACTGGCACTGGCCCCATGGGATCCACTCTGCCTGAGGTTACTCCACCGTGACTGTTCAGCTCCATTCAAGACCTGGGCTCACCCCTGGCTCCCCACGTAGGATCGGGGGAGTCCCTAGGCACCCTATGGCCTTTCCTCAAGGAGACGTGGCCCAGTGTACACATTGCTGGGGGGAGGGAGGGCCCCCCAGACCAAGCACGAGCCGAGCAGGGTGGGTGGAGGGCTGAAGGCCATGGGGAATGTGGGGGTGAGGGCATGCATGGGGCTGCAAGCATGGCGGGTGGGAGGGCCAGCACAGAGTGGGTCTCAGTAAGTATCTGTCGAATGAGGTCTTCGCTGTCTTGCTTTGCTGGAACCCCGGGAGGATGCTCTGTGACTCGATTTTGCACCTATCAGACAGAAGTCCCAACCACAGCTAGGCCTCCTGGTAGGGGAGGACAGGGTGGACATAGGGGGTCAGGAGCATGGCTGGGGCACCCAGCCCCACTGCCGGAAAGGCCCTGGGTGAGCCCTGCAGGGTAACCCACCCTCCCGGCAACAGCACCTCCCATGCCACCCCGAGCCAGGCAGCCTTTACTGCCCGCTGCCCAACTCTCTGAAGTCACTGAATTCAAACAGCCACAGGCAAGCTTAGGGAGGAGTGCCCAGGAATCTGGGGCCCGCACTCCCTAGGGCCCCAGGAATGAGGACAGTGGTGCAGGCCAGGAGGCTCCCCACAGGGGGTTGGTCCAGGAGATCCCAGGGAGGGGCTCCAGGGCAGCCCTGTGCTGAACTGTGCAGAGAGGGGCTGGGTGCCCCATGGGTGGGCAGCTGCCCCCAGGCCAGCAGGGGCTTACATGGCACCTGGTCCAGGGGCAGGTGGTCAGTCAGGGGAAAATGAGTGTCCACAGAGACAGGCATCACTCGAGAAGGAAGTGGCCGAGCCTCCCCCACTGGTGGGCAAGGCCCTCAGGGTGGGCGAGGGGATGTGGGTCCGGGTGGTGGGCCGGCATGGCCAGCCTGACCCGTCTCCGTCCCCCTCTCCCTCTCTCTGGAGCAGCCACTTCATCCAGCCGCTGCCAGGCTGCTCCCGGGGAGCTGGCGGCCTGGCGGGCGGGCTGGCGGGCTAGGCTGCTGGGGTCGTGCCTACTCCTCCCCCCACCCTCAGGAAGTGACATCATCCCAGTCTCTCCGAGGAGGAGTCGGAGCATGGATTCTGGGAAGCAAGGAGAAGGATGGAGAGCGCGGGAGCCACATGGTGGGGTGGTTGGGGGCGGGGGCGGGGGGGGTCTGGGAACGCAGGGGCCTGGGGCTCCAGTGGTGTGTCTGTGACAAGCAGCTGACAGCACTGCTTCTTTTCAAAATGACGGGATGGGAGGGGCCGGGACACCGTGGGTGGCAGCAGGGCTGGAGCAGGACTGCGCTGCCAACAGCTGGTGTTTCAGCCGCCAGTTCTCTACAGCCCCTCCCATCTCCAGGTGGCTCTTGGAGGGTAAGGTGGAATGTGGGGGGGGGGGGGGGGCGTGCTCAGGGTGCCCCCCTCACATGAATGGAATGACTGAGAGGTCTGGCACCAGCAGGTTCCCAGCAGATGCATTCCCTCTAATCAGGCCAGCCCTGGGGGCGGCGGGGGAGGAAGTTGAGTGCCGACCCGTGGAGGGGCTGGCGGGCGAGGCTCTTGCCCTTGCCAGCATCCCAGAATATCTGCTTCTCAGGTTTGGCCCGCAGACCGCCCTCCCAATCGCCCGGAGGGGCACGCGCCTCTCATCCCCACCCTTCCCCTCTTGGAGTCTGGAGCGGCTAACACTTCTTCGATTCATGCGTACCATTCACGCAACACCCTCAAACTCACACACAGCCCCACACGTGCACACGGCCCCGCCCTCCCCGCTCTCAGGCGGGAGAAATGGGGCGAGCCTGGCACGAGGCCCCACAGAGGCAGCCAAGGATCTGTCAAGACCCTGGAGTGATGTGGCCAGTGCAGCCTCTGCCCCAGCTGTGGTCAGTGCCAGAGTCCACCCAGATCAGGTGGCAGGGCTCCTGCAGGCTGACCCCACTGGGCACCCCATGACAGGCCTGCATCCAGGGCCAGCCCACCAGCGCAGAATCCCAGGCATGGCGCTGGGAGCCCAGGCTGCCTGGCTTCAAACCCGGGCTCCAATACCCGCTAAGCGTACGACTTACGAGTCGTGCCTCAGTTTCCTTAGCTGTAAAAGTGTCGCTCATCCCCACCCGCTAAAGTTCTGGTGAGGACCACGTGGGGGAAATGTCTGCAGACACCCTGGCCCTGCTGGATACGCCAGTGATGCCTCAGCGGGGGCGGGGGGCGGGGGGCGGAGGAAGGGAGCCCGAGACCCTGATGGACCAGCCACCCCTCCCCTGCCTGGCCAGTGGCTCCTCCAGCTGGTCACCAACAGGTCATGGTCTGGGGTGGGGGTGACAGGGCCTGTGCTGCTGCTGGGGGAGGGTGAGACGACTCGAGTCCCTGAGGGTTCATAAATCTCAGGGCTGCTATTTTTGAGGGCCTGAAAGGCGCCTTTTCTCTGAGACCCCGGCCCTTCACAATGGGGGCCTGTTCCCCTGCTGGGATGTGATTTCATCTGGAGGAAATGTCTCAGGATGGGGAGGGCAGAGGCTACTTCCTGGCGTGGGGCTGCCACAGAGTCCCCCCCCTCCCCGCCCCTGACCGCCAGGGCACAGGGTCCCTGCCTTCCAACAACCACAGTGGGGGGCACACAGCCTCGCCTCCTTACCCCAGACAGTGGCACTTGTAGGACAGGCGTGGTGTCCCCTCCAGCAGGGAAGAACAGGGGCTCTGCTGGCGGCCCCTCATCACATGGAAGGAATGACTTGATCAGCCCTGGGGGCCCCTTTCTCCCCCACCCACAAAGCCCAATTTCCCTGCTGGTGATTCAGACCCGTTGGTTAAGCAGCAACCATTCTGGGAGTTCCTTTTTCTAAAAATAGAAAACTCTTTAAAAATGCACATGCTGTCCCCTACTTTAAAAACCATCCATGGCTCCCCCTGGCCTTCAGGATAAAGTCCAAGCCCCCTAGGCAGCAGCTAAGGGCCGCAGTCACCAGCAGTCAGGCTGTGCAACCTTGGGCAGGTGCCTTGCCCTCTCTGAGTCCTGGAGCAGGAAGCTACTCCCCAACCCGTGGGGACAGACTCTAGCACAGATCCCCCCTGCTGCCGCTGGTTCCTTCTGGCTGGGGAGGTGCTCCAGTCCCTTCTCACACTGCCCCATCCTCCTTTCCCAACTCCTCCAAACTTGCTGTTCCCTAAAAACATCTCACTGGAAGATTCCATGCTTCGCTTGCCCCAGTTCCTCTGCCAGGCAAAATCCCACTCGTTTTTCTAGGCCAGCCAAAAGTCACCTCATCTCTGGAATGCTCCTGGCCAGCCCCACCCACCCCACTCTTCTCAGGCGGAACAGGCTGCTCCCTGACGGGACCACCCCAGACCCCTCACCCCAGTGTCGCGCTGGGCACACTGTCTTACAGTAAACCTGCTGATTCCTTGCTGCCCATTCCAGCCCCGGCTCAACTCAGAGTCCCTGAAGGCCAGGGTCCCGCAGCACCGTCCATCTTCACACTGCCCTCCCGCCTCTGGAGGGTGACACAGCCAACCTCGAATCCGGTCCTTCTCCTCGGGAGCAGCCTGGGCCCAGGCCCAAAGTACTGCTGCATCCCCCGAGGCAGCTGCACCAGCAGGCCAGCAACAGCTCGCCTCCCTGTCACACGGGTCACACGGGTCCTCTCAGCCCACAGCCTCCGCCCTTCCAGATGTGCCCCAGCCCAGCTCCCCTGATGGCTCAGGAGAACCATCTTCCCCTCCTCGGGCTTTCTTAAGTGTTCTCAGGCTTCCGTTTCTTCTGTCTGCAAAACCAGGGGAGCACCACCCCCTCAGGCTGTATGGAGAACTCACTGCAATGATGTCACTAAAGGTTTGCACGGGTGCTGGCAGACCCCACGGCTCCATTTGCGGTGGCTTTCCTGTTAACAGAGCTCCTGAGGGGCTTTTGGGGGACTTGTTGGCAGGGTGACCTGTGACCTGGCCCGGGGGTCTGGGCAGGCGCTGCTGATGCCCACGACTGGCTCCAGCTGATCGGGAAGGACTGGCCGGAGCAGACAGAAGCCCTGACTGGGTGACCTGCCCCCGCCGTGGGCCTTGGGGGGCTGCCGGCTAAAGCACCCCAGGCTGGGTCTCCTCCCCTGATCCTAACGTCCCCTTGGGCTTGGCCGGGGAGCAGGTTTCGGGGAGAAGAGCCCCTGGGCAGCGGGTCCCAGCCGGCGGGGTGCCCAGAGTCCCCAGGGGAGGGAGGAGGGCATGGGCTGCTGTGGCCGCCTCCAGGCGGCCCGGCTCAGAGAGGTCAGGCCTGGGGCCGATGGGAGATGGGAGCCAGGCCAGGTCACGGGAGTCAGGCTGAAGCCGGTGCCCACAGGGCACAGGATGATGTGCTGTGGGAGGCCAGTCCACTGCCACCTCCAGCCTCTAGGTCAGCCCAAGAGGCTTCCGACCAGGCAGAGGTGGCCAGGGATAGGCTGGAGACTGAGCCTGAAGGAAGGGATGACAGCCAGGTCCAGGCCACAGGGAGACATCTGACATCAGCTGAGCGCCTCCTGTGTCCCAAGCCCCGGACTAACCACCTTCCAGCCTGTCAGCAGCGATGCAGAGGAAGTGTCACTCACACTTCACATGCTCAAAACACAGGCTGTGTCTGAGCCCTGGCTCCGTACTTACTGGCTGTGGGACCTCGGACAAGTTACTTAACCTCTCTGTGCCTCAGTTCCTCATTTCCACAATGGGGCTACTGAACACCACCTAGGACAATGCTTCAGAATTGTCATGAGGGTTCAACGAGTCACACACCTAAGACAGCACCTGTCACGTAGTGAGCACTCCTCTGTGATTATTACCATGGAAGAACGAGGAGACGGAGGCTCAGGGACTTCGCCCCGACACCTTCCGAGCGGCAGGAGGCCCGGGTCCTTCCTGCTGTCGTCCGAAGCCCTCACCTCGGGCAGGAACATCCGAGTTAGATGGGGCCTCAGAAACAGTCTGCCACCCCCCTTTTTGGGATAAGAAAACTGAGTTCAGAAAGGCCCCAGAGGCCCCCAGCTTTCCTGTAACACCCATCCCTGCAGCGTCACCACCAGGTGCTGGACACACGGTCCCGGAGTCCCCGAGCCGGCCCCCGCCCTTCTCCTTCCCCGCTGCACAGCCCCCTCGAAGCCCCCAAGAGACACTGCTGTCAACAGTGTCACCCAGAGAGATGGGTGACAGCCTCTCTTTCACGCTCCTGAAGGTGCGTAACCCTCTCAAAAGCTGCCAAAACCCACGTGAGCTCCCTCCCGGAGACCAGTCCACAAGAAGGCAGGCACCACTCGTGCAGCTCCAGACGGGCATCACGGCCGGTCTCTGCCTCCCCGCGGGCAGGGACCCCAGCGCTCCGCAGCTCGGCTGGCAAAGGAGACAAGGCTCTCAGACCCCAGCCCACCTTCCCCGGACCCCTAGTCCACCCCTGCCTGCTGAGGCTGGTGATGGGGTCAGGCCTGGCCACATCCAGAATGGCCAGTCCCAGACCGAGAGCAGCGTCCCCAGGCCAGAAAGTCACCGCCCCTCCAGCCCTGGGTTTCTTCTGAAGAAGGAGGAGCCTGGGCTAATGGGAGGTTTGTATTTATTTGTGTTCACAACCAACAGCTGCATGTGCCTTATAGGACCCACAAACAGGGAAAAGGTAGAGTATACATTTAAAAACAAACAAACTTCAGAACAAAAACTAAATAAATTAAAATAGGAAGTCGGGGAATCTGGTGTACACATGCAAGACATAAAGGCCCACACAGGAGCTACACGGAAAACTATCATTAGACTGAACTTCCTGGTGGCCAAAGCAAAAAGGGAATCTGGGGAGTCTGTAAGGGCTCTTTCAGGGTGTTTTGATCCTTGGTGCCCAGAGGCGAAGGCCCAGGACTCCCACTCCCGTGATGAACGGGATTCCCCCTGTGAGGAGGCTTTGAAGTTAGAAGGAGCTCTCAAAGAGGTAACAGGGACAGGCACCTGCGGCCGGCTGGCTGCTCCTGGTCTGTGTGGTTCCTAGGGTGTCTGGGTTGGGCATTGGAGCTTGTCAAGTCTTACGAGGGCATCTAACTCAGGGGACTGATGCAGTGAAGCTGGGCCCCGGGCAGCCTGCAGGGTGCATGGTAGCCGCCAGAGGCTCCATCCCAGCCAGGGCGGGCTCACCGACGGGCCACTCTCCTGCCCAACAGGGCTGGCAGCCGCCTCCTGCCTTTTAGCCGGGGCGCTCAAACCCCGACTCCTCCACTCTCAGCTGCGGGGCCAGTTAGAGAGCTGGTGAAGCTCTCTGCTGGCTTACGAGGCTCACGTGGAGAGCACGTGCAGAGGAGGGACTGACCCAGGACCAGAACTGCTCACGACACTGCAGCGCAGTTCCAGGTGATGGCGGGGAGACCTCGGCCCACCTGCAAGCTGGGGACCCAGCCACTCACCTCCTCTGGCATTCGTCGGTTGCCTACCACGTCTGGGCCTCCCCTAAGCCCTTTACAATCACAGCTCATTAATCCTCATGACAACTGTGAGGGACATACTGCTGTAACCACATTTTACAGATGGGCTGAGGGACTTGGCCTGGGTCACACAGCCCGGTCCCAGAGCCCGCAGCTTAACCGCTGCATGCTGGTTCTGAGGAGCAGGATTCTGCTAAATGCCTGTTTCTGACCCCAGAAGCTGGCCTCGAACATCCCCTCACGGGGTGAAGAGGCAGGGCCTCAGGGCCCACAAAGAGCTCTGAGTCCCGGGGCTCCAGACTCCCGGTCGGGGAAGGTGTGGGTGTCGCCCATTCTGCAGAGGAGGAGAACTGAGCCCAGGGGGGTCCCGTGGTCTGTCCTGAGTGAGCGGGCTGTGGGGCTGCGAGACGGCACAGAGCTGGACACTTTGTATCACCTGTCCCAGCCTCATCGAGACATAGGGGTATTTTCGAGCTCTAGAGATGAAGAAACAAGCTCAGGGAGACGTGCTGGCTTGCCTACAGATCCCACAACAAGGAGGCAGAGCAGGGACTTCAAGGGCCTCCTGGAGCCACTTGAAAGGGAACAACCTCTCCGGCTGTGGGTCCGAGTCCTCATCCCACGCACACAGCCACAAAGACCCACACGCTCCTCCCACCCCAATGTCCCTTCTCCTTCCCAGGTCCGCAGAAGGCCCTGGAAGGGGGAAGGCGGCGAGGGAGGTGACAGAGAGAAAGCACGCGTGGGCTGGGGGCCGCGTGCGCCACCAGCCTGTGCCCGGGTGTGCGCAACCCAAGTTAGGGGCCCGAAAGCTGTCGCTTTTCACGCATCAGCTGTGCCAGAGCAGAAGGCAGAGCCGCGCCTGCCCAGGGCTGGGGCCGGATTTCAGCAGGAGACGGGTCCCCACACGCCCAGGCCCTGGGACTAAAACAGCGTGCCTGGGAGGGCCGGGGGCAGGACAGAGACGCCACCGCCACTGGGTCCCCTCTGCCCCCAGGGTCTTAGACTGACAAGCACCTTCCCCACCCTCCCCCTGGGATGGCCTCGGAGGAGGTGTCTCGTATGCCCCTCACTACAAGCCGGTGGGTGTGTACGGCTGCTCCTGTGTCACAGCATTTACCACACGCCAGGTCCTGTGGCAAGCAGTTCACAGATATTACTTCCTCTTATTTAATCTTGTTAAAACCCTATGAGGCAAGTGCCATTCCTAGCCCCATTTTACCGATGAGGAAAAGGAGGCCCAGAGAAGTTAAGAAGTTGCCCAAGGTCACTCAGCTGGTAAGCAGCAGAGCCAGGCCGTGAGGCTTGGAGTCTGTGCTCCAGCCCCTCCCGAGGAGCCCTCCTCAGGGCTCCATCTATCACAGGGGCTTCAGCTTCTCGTTCTCACGCTAATTATCTTCCACTCGTCTACAACAGGCAGAATTTGCCATCTGCCACTGGCCTTGACACTGACACCAGCCAACTCCCAGGAAATCAATTGGGCCCGTTGGTTTCCTGCTAGTTATTCTGGAAGGGCGGCTGGCTGGGGACGGGGAACAAGGAGGGAGGGCCAGGAGGGAGGGCAGCAGGACCTTCCCTGGCAGCCAGGCCGCCCTCCTCCCCCCACCGCCCTCCCCAGGTCCTCCCTCCGGGGGCTTCATGCCAGGGCTCCCTCAGGGCTGGGCCAGAATGGATCTGTTTCCAACAGTGGAAGAGGTTCCCCAGGTCCCGGCCAGGCCAGGTTTTGTTTCTGAGTCTCCCCTGGAGACCATTTATTTTCCTGAAACTAGGAACAGGCCCTCATCCCACACGCATTCCAGTGCCTGCGGCCCGGAGGGGCGGGCTCGGCTGGCCCCATGGGCGCTGCCCGCCGCCTGGGTCACCAAGCCCCAGGCTGCTTCCTCCTGCCTGTCTGCAGGAGGACACGGGCAGGCGGGCACCCATCCCCAGTCTGCTTCTATTTGGGCAGAGTCCTTCCTAGGCCACCCTGTGGTCTCCTCACGCCCTAACCCATCTCTACCCTGCTCTCTGGAACCCTCCTCTCAGAGGCGAGCGTCTGGGCGGTGGCGGCCACCCAGTGAGCCCACGGCTGCCTGCCCCCAAGCCCTGGGGCTGACTCCTGGTTCCATCACTTCTCGTTGTCTGTGACTGTCACTTCTCTGAGCCTCAGTTTCCTCATCTGCAAAATGGGATGATGAAGGTACCAGCTTCACAGGGAGTCACGCGGAGAAAATGAAATAATGCATGTCGACTCTCGGCTCACAGAAAGCATTAGTGGCTTCGTTACTATTTACTAATCACCTCTCCTGATGCTCAGAGCTTTTCCTCACTACGCCGAGTTCCTGCCCCTGAGGAGTGGCAGGGACGCTCCTCTCTCTGGCATCTAAGTCAACCCTCCTAAAGAGAAAGGCCCTGCTCTCTATCCCTGGGGACCAGGCTGAGCCACACCTGCCTTCATCCTCGACAACCTACGTAACGCCCTGACCTACCTTCTTGGGCAGGGATGGTGGCATCCCCGAGGAGACCCACCCGCAAGGCTGAGGGTTCGCTGGCCCTCCTCCTTCATCCACCACAAGCCGGTGGGATGGGCATCACCATCCCAGGGGCAGCTCAGCCCATGGACCTCCAGCCCAGGGCCACGCCTTGCTCCTGCCAGAATGCCCCAGGTCTGTCTGTTCAGAGTTTTCAGGGTGTCCCATTGTAGGCCCCCTCCCAGCTCAGTCCCAAGGGGCACAGGCCCACCGCTCATGCCCACTGCCCAGTCCAGCCTCCTCCCGCTCCCCCATGCTCCCCCCGCCCACCCCCAGGCTCCCCCAGGGCCTCTGCTCTCCTGTGAGCCATTTGCTGGGAGCCCCCACCAGGCAGTTCAGCTGCAATGCTCAGGCCGGCTTCTCAGAGCTTTCCCGAGAGGAGACTCCTTGTGCCGGGTGCTGGCAACACCTCCGAGAGGAATTAACACCTTCCACTTCATTAGGGGCCCCCTAAAGAGGCCGTTAATGAGGATGCTAAGTGGGCACACCTCGGCTGACAGCTCCCTCTGGGAACCCCCACCCCCATGCCCAGCATACCCTGTGCCAACGGTGTCCTGTGTGCCGCCTCAGGCTGTGGGTCGGGCCTCGGGGTCTGGTCTGCATGGGGGGAAATGCTTCCCAGACTCCAGAGGCTGCATGGGCCATGGATTGATCTGCGGAGGGGTCACCTGCCTGGGCAGCACAGCCATCTAGGGCACAGGCCGGCCGCTCGGGCTCTTGGGTTTCACTTCGACCATTCCCTGGGCATCGCAGAAGCAGGCGGGGATCGAGTGACTGCGTAACACAAGCTCTTCCCCAGGGGAGGAGTTCTGCAGCTCCTGTATGCGACAGGAAGGGCCACCACCCCCGGCCCCCACGGAGCACGAGTGGAGGTGGCACGTGCTGCTTCCAACAGCACATGACCCCAGCACAGACCCTGCCCCGAGACCCTCCTCTCCTGTGCCCCATGAGGGGGTGTCCGCGCTCTTCCAAGTGGGTTTCTGGAAACGCTTAGGCACCCCCGGATGACAGGAGCTGGTCACAGCAGGTGGGGTCTGCAGGCCGCCTGTCAGAGCAGCTTTTAGCTGTCACACGTATTGGGGTTCCTCGTAACACTGCATTTTGAACTCAACAGCTTCAGTGCTTTAAAATGTCTGAGAGGCAGTGGACAGGATGACCTCTCAGGTCCACTCTGGCCTTGACTTTCAGAGTTCCACTTGCTGGTGGGTGCAGGATGGCCGAGGCGAGAGCCTTGGGGCTCCAGGCAGGAGCCCAAGCAACTTCGACCATCACAAGTGTCTCCTGGCCTGAGCCACAAGGGCAAAAGGGGTCACAGAAAAACCTGACCCAGGAGCTTGGAGACAGCACTGTGGCCGACGCTTCGGTCTTTCAGACCCCCTCATTCCCTCCCACCTCCCTGGCATGACAAGGCTGGACCCAAGCTCAAGGGACCACAGGCCTCCAAGGAGGGGTGGGGGCTCAGAAGGCCCTCTGCGACCGGGTGGAGGACACGGCTAGACCCGGCTCTTGTCCCAGTGCCTCTGTTCACACAGATATCACTGAGCACGACCTTCAGAGGACAGCGCAGAAGCCACTTCTCAGTACGCGTCAGCCACCATTTCGTCATCCGTAAAACAGAGATGGTGATGACAGTGCCTCCCTCTGGGACTGCTGTGAGGACAAAGTGAGTTCAAAGTTGTAAAGTGCTGCGGGCATTAGCTACACGCACACAAAGTTTACAGTCTTAATTAAATCAATCCCCTCCTCAAAAGCGGGTTATGGCTCTGAAACGCCCTTTAAATCAGATTACAACTCCCAACCGTTAGCCATCAAACTCTCCACCAGCCATGGCCCCGCTCCGTCCCTGCCAGCAGGCACGGCCATTTCCTGCTCCCGTCTGGTCTGCGTCTCCCACCTGCTCATCAGCTCATCAGCGGAGTGAGGGAGTAAGCGAGCCCATGCCGGTGCTTCCTGCTCTCCAGATGGCCCACCCACTGCAGGGGCTCCTCCTGGGAAAGCCCGGGGGTTGTCCCCAGTCGGCCTTAGGCCTCAGCACTGGTTGATGTGTCCACAACAGATGAGTGAAGTCAGGACCCACTTTCCTGCAGGCTCCTGGTGCACCTGCCTCGCCTTCTCCGCTCCCAAGGAAAAACCTCGGCCTCCCCCTGCTCCCCTCCCCTCCCTGGGGGATGGGCCCGGAGGCTCTGGGCAACGGAGACTGGCACTGGTGGGGAGCCCAGGAGGGGAGCACTGGCCCCTACAACGGGGGCAACCCCATCAGGCACCTGATAAATGTCAGCCTTCTGCCCACTCATGCCTGGGCAGGAAAGAAGGACTTGCTTGTATGTGGGGGGCAAAGGCTCGGAGAGAACAGGGCCTTGCCGGCTGGACCTCAGACTCCAAAGTTTGGCATCACTTTCCTTCCCAGAGGACTCACCCTCGGGGCCTGGGGCACCAGCCTTGTCACACTGTCACTTCTGTGGCCTCTGCTTCCCGGTCTGCTCCCTGGGTGTGGCAGGAGGTGGAAGTGGGGCCACACACATGGCACAGCCCTCATGACCACAGGCTGGCACTGCCGCCCTTCCAGCCCTGAGTGGCATTCCACTACCGCTTAACAAGGTCACGGCAGGGAGGGAATGGGCATTGGGGGGGGCCTCCTCCCCATCAACCTGGGGCAGGGGCCCACGGTCCGCCCCATTAACTGCCTGCTACTAGTGGGACGAGCCAGGCCTTTCGCTGACCCCTGCGGGCCCCAGGGAGGTCAGCGAAGCTGCCCGTGACTCCAGCGGATGAACCTTTCCACGAGAGCTGACAGTGCCACAGAGAGACAGCAGGAGGGCCGTGTGCCGAGTGCTAATGGGCTGCCCACCTGGGGCCGCAGAGACAGACAAGGTCCTGGCCAGACGGGCTGAGGCCAAGGCTCCTGCCAGGCAGAAAGTGGCATCTCGCCTCCTCCGGGGCTTCGGGAGGCAGTGTGACAATGCCTGCTCCCTCAGCAGGCCCAGCCCTTGCCGGCTCGCCCCAGGAAGGCTCTGGAGTGGGGGGTAGCAGTGAGGGCGTCAGCCAGAGCCTGACGGAGGGATCAGGGTGGGGGGCGGCCTGCGTCATCGCTCCTGCTGACTTCCCCTCCCTCAGTGGCCACTGGCTGCTATAAATACCACTCCTGCCTCTGGATGTTGCGGGAGGTGACCTAGAATCTGGGCTCTGGGCCTCCTGGGTGCACCCTCTCTGCCAGCGTCCGACAGAGCCTGTCCGGCCAGAACATCCTGGCAGGCTGGAAGCCCACTCCCATGGTGCACAGGGCCCCGCCAGGAAAGGGAAAACCCCGACACGGGGGGAGCCAGCTGTGGATGCCCAACGCCGAGTCTCCTAGGACCAGCATTTCTCCTACCTTCATGGCAAGCGCAGAGGACACCGGCCCCCGGAGAGCAGAGGCCTGGCGGCCCGCAGGGGAGACACAGCACCCAAGGCAGCCCGCTCAGCCAGGGACCACCCAGCGCAACCGCGGCCTCCAGCTCAGGGGCAGAGGCTCCACAGTCATCTGATCCTGGGCCCTCACCCCACCTTCTCAGTCCCACGGTTCCTCTGCAATTCGACCTGGTTTCCAAACTTGTCATCGCCCTGGAAGCCCACTGGGACATACTCTACTTTGACAGGGCGCTCGCCTGCTCACTCTTCCAATTGGTACCCTGCTTCTCAAGGAGCTCTTCCCCTCCTCGACAGACCGCAGACAGGCCCGGGCCCCAGACCCCAGGCTTGGCAGACCCGGGAGCACAGGACAGGAGGTGGCCCCGGGCCCGGCAGTTGTGGACACCAACCCTCGTATGTAGCCAGGGTGTGGTTCCAGACCCCCTGGCTTAGGGCAGGGCCAGGATCTGAGGGGGAAAAGCTGGAAACAGCTCCAGGGGTGGGTTCTGGGCGGTGTGGACACAGGTGAAATCTAGTGAAAATTAAATTCACGCATGCAGCCATTCTCAATCCAGCTGACAAATAAGCAGAGTGCCAGCTACATGCCAGGGGCCACAGCAATAAACAAAAGCCGATGTGGGGGCGGCCCTCACCGAGCCGACAGGCAGGAATGAAAGAGAGACTTCAAGCTCATCTTCAAGCACAACAACAAAAAACTCTACGGCATGTGCTCAGAAGCGAGGGCCCAAGTAGGGAGGTGAGGGCACCCGCCCTTGGAACTGGGAACAGGAACTGAGCTCTCAAGCACAAGGAGTAAAGAGGCCACAGGAGAGGGCAGCGGGGAGCTGCATGGAGGATGCCCCTCGGCATGAAGACCACGGTGGATGGAGCAAAGATCAGACCAGACGGGAGCCGAGAGGAGGGCCGAGGTAGAAAGGCCGGCGGGGCCCCGTGAGCCAAGCCCAGAGTCTGAGCTTTACCCCCAGAGCAACAGGAAACTACGGGCCAAGACAGGCAAGAGGGTGGAGAGGAAGGGGCCCAGACTGAGGGGCAGCAGACAACAGTGCCAGGGGGACGGGCAGCAAGGGAGAGGGTGCTGCCAAGGACGCCCCAGCCTAACAGCCTGCACAACTGGACAGGCAGCGGGGCCAGCACTGCATGTGCCCTCAGCGCCCTGGAGCACTTCCTGCTGTCTCTTCCTGCAGGCAGGGAGAGATGGACGGCGCCCTGCTTCAGGGATCCTGGAGGCACGCCAGGGGAATGGAGGCCTGGGGCAGCCTGTCCCCAGGCCAACAGCGACAGCCTGGGCGTCGGTCCAGCAGACACCAGTTCAGGGGTGGTCACCAGGCTCGGCTCCCACATTTGAGGGTCCCCACAATTAAGCTGGAGGTTGGAGGCATCTCCCCCTCAACACTGAAGTCCTTCCTCGTCCTGCCACCCGGCTCTGACCACGAACACGGCCCCACGGAGGAGGCCTTCACCCAGGCAGAGATCTCGGAGCTGATGGAAACCACACACGGGAGGGGAAATGAAGGCTGGGAGAGAGGATGTCCCTGTCCCACCCACCATTTCCAGTCACTGCACAGAGCTCAGCACACTTGGAAAACTCGCCTCTTCTTTCCCTGGCCTGCCTGCCCTCCCCTCCTCCCACGCCGCCCCTGCTAACGGCCCTCTCTCTGTCCCCCAGACAGCCAGGCGTGTCCTGTCTCAAGGCCCAAGCCCTCACATGCTCCCCTCATCTCTGCGTGGCTGGGCCCCTCTTGTCATTCAGTTCCAAGCTCAAATGTCCCTCCTCTGCCCTTCCCACACAGTGTCAGGTGCCCCCAGACCTCTGCCTCTCATTGCTGTTCTATGCTCCTCAGCACTTGCCACCATCTAACACTCTCTAGTTTATTCGTTTGGTAATAAGTTTACTGTCTGCCCCTCCCCACCGGGTGTGGCTCCCAGGGCAGAGGCCCCGCCTGTCTTCTTCCCTTCTGTGTCCCCAGCACCCAGCCAAGGGCCTGGCAGGTGGCAGGAGCCCATCCAGTCCTTGCTGCCTGAGGAGGAGCCACGTCTGAGCACGGCCCGGGGGAGCCAGTGCAGAGCTGGGCCCAGAACCCAGGGCTCCTGACTCCCAGCCCTGGGCTCCTGCCACACCCCCCGTGGCCCATGCCCCAGATCCAGGCTCAGTCCTGAACGGCTCTCCTGCGGCAACAACCACATCCGGGGCTTCACGGCAGCTGGACAGCACTCTGTGGGCAAGGCAGGGAAGAAATGCGGCACCTTCGTTTGGCTGATGTGGAAGCTGTGGCGGGAAGAAGGTGTTGGGTGATTTGCCTGAGGCGACACAGTGAGTGGTAGAGCCAGGACCATGACCAGTTATCCCGGGAGGTTCTGCTGCCCAAGGGGCTCCACGGCACCAATGAGCCTACCCCCTTCCAGCTCCCAGCCCCGCCTCGGCTTCCTGGGCATCTGTGGGAGCGTGACTTGTGATGTCCACTTTGCAAAACGCACCACTAGAGGGAGGGGGCATCTCCCCAGGGAGAGCACGGAGGGCTGTGCTCTTGGGATGCAGCCGGGTACTCCTGCCCTCTCCCAGAGACAGGGCTCCCCATGGGACCACCTGGCCAGCTTGCAGCCCGGGGCTGCCAAAGGGGCTTAGCAAGGATCCCGGGCCCACTGTCAGTAGAAGAAAAGGTAGGACTTGGGAGACGAGCTCCCCTCTCAGAGCTTCAATGTCTTCATCCAAAAATTAGGGGGTTGACCAGAGGATCTCCAGTTTCCCTAGGATTCTGTTTTTTTTTTTTTTTTTTTGGTGAGGAAGATTGGCCCTGAGCTAACATCCGTTGCCAATTTTCCTCTTTTTGCTTGAGGAAAATTGTCATTGAGCTGACATCTGTGCCAACCTTCCTCTACTTTGTATGTGGGATGCTGCCACAGCATGGCTTCATGAGCAGCATGCAGGTCCATGCCTGGGATCTGAACCCGCAAACCCCAGGCTGCTGAAGAACTTAACTACTATGCCACCAGGCCGCCCCAGGATTCCCTTTTTTATTCCCCCTGAACGCTCCACAGGCCTTCGGCCTCTGCTGAAAAAATACACCCCATGGAAGACTCAGAAATACTGACAGTACCACCCCACGGCCGCCCAGGGAGAGAGACGGGCCAGGAATCACCATACCACGGCCCAGCGTTTCAGGGGCACCAACTTGTGCAGGCAGTCAGGACTAGGTTCAAAACCCAACACATCACGGACTTGCCCGCGACCTCGGGGAGTCTCCAAGCCTCGGTTCCTTTCCAGACAGTGGCCTCCCTCCCCGTGCCCCTGATGTGCTCTCTGCCAACTTCCTAGGATTGTGAGAACAAACAAGACAGAGGAGGCTTCTTAGGAGGAAAGCACTATAAAAAGCCTCAGGAATATGATTACTTCCCTTTACGACGGAGCCCTGGGCTTCCCGGCCCAGCCCGCTGGGGCCTCATTCGGACTCTCCCAGCTTCCCGCCTTCTCCCAGCTCACACCTGCGCCATCCCGAGGAGACCAGAGGAAGAGAGCAGGTGGCACCGGCAGGCACGCCCCTGCCCCAGCATCTCCCCCAGAGGCAGCGGGCCGAGGAGTGCGGCAGGGGCTGAGATTCCTGACCCTCGGCCCGCTGTGTGCGGCCCCTCCACCGCCCTCCGTGCAGGGCCTCCTCCCAGCTCGTCAGGGACTGGGGAGGGTGTGTGAGATCACGTCTGGGACGGGCTCGGAGTTCCTCTGAGAGAAAAGCTCAGAGAGATCCAGGGTGGGATGAATTATGCGTCAACGTGCTTATTTATTAGCACTTGGCTTGCTGCAGGGGACAGTGGGAAACACGTGGAGCTTGGTGTCAGAGAATCCAGGCATGGCTTTGGGCTCGGCCACAATAGGTGGGCAAGTCACAACCTCTTGGAGCCCCGATTCCTCTACAAGGGGGATAAATAACATCTGAGTGACGTTGGTTACAGCGGGACACAAGCAGGAGTTTCCTTACCTGGAGGTGGGGACTGCGAGGGCACCAGCCTCACAGCGTTGCTGTGGAGTGAGGCTGAGCGCTCGCCAGGGGGCTGCGTGAGCACCACGCGCATTAGGGACCCTCAGGGCTGCTGGGGAGGAGAGAGTGGTGTGGTCAGAGGTCTGAGGGTGGGGCTACTGCGATGCTGCTCAGGCCGGCAGACTCTGGGTCCACCCCCAGGCCAGCACCCGGCCCTGACCAGCAGCAGGAGAGAGGGCTGTGCAGGGCCCGGCAGCCACAGTGACCTAAACGAGTTACAAACCCCAGGAGACTAGTGTCCCTACTTCCTCCATGTCAGTCCTGCTCCCCAGCTAAGAGGTGGTGGTGGAGGGACCTGGGGTCCCTCACCAGGCCAGGCTGCCTCCCCAACCCCAGCACACAGCCAGCACGAGAGTAACCAGGCAACTTCTGATACCTGTGCCCATCTGGAAAGGCTGTCCCCAAGCCTGAGCGATGACACTCTCCCAGCTGCCCTCTGTTTACAGAGCTCTTTGCCCAGGGAGGGGGTGGCACAGCCTCTTGGTGACCACCTGCTCGTCCTCACAGCTTGTCTGACAGGTACCAAGAGGTGGAGAAACCACGGCCAGAGCAATGGGTTTGCCAAAGGCCACAGTGAAAGCAGGGTGACCCCCATGGCAGTGTGAGATCTCTCATCCTCACAGGACCATAGCCAGTCCACGAGGCCGGCCACAGGCGGGACTGCAGGGAGGGAGGCCCCAGCTAATACAGGCCACTCCGTGGGTACCAGCTTTGGGAGAGGAAGGGCTCCCTCTTCCCAGGGACGCCAGATGCACCTGGCCTCTGTTTACCTAATCTGTTCCCCTTGGCCCCGAGGACCAGGCCCGTGGCCTCAAGGAGCCGCTGGCACATTCCCCGGTCAGGGACTGCCCACGCAGGGGCGAGCTCGGTCAGCCCATGGGGAGGATGGGAAGGCCGTTCTCAAGAGGGCAGGCGGAGGGGCGGGCCGGGCTGGGGAAGAAATCCTCAAGTTCCTGGGGCCGATTCATCTGAAAGGCGCTGGAGGCAGGGCAGGGGCCAGCTGAAACAAGGCAGGCTCTCCTCACTGGAGGGAAGGGTGAGGGCCGCAGCCAGGCAAGGCAGCTCCAGGGAAGAGAGGGGCAGAGGTGCCTTTGCGGGGCACTCCCGGCTTGGGCCATGTGCTCCTCTGCCCCGGCCACACAAAAGTCCCATTGACACTGCCCTTCGCCCCCATGCCCCAGGGCCAGTGCCCAACACAAGGGCTCTGGGGACCTCTCCTGCTCCTTGCTGACCGTCCAGCTGCTGCTGCCACTGCCGCCCTGGCACGCGAGGCATGTCAGGCCCAGCACTGCAAAGTCACATGCTGTGCGTGGGCGAGGCCAGGCCCCACTGGGGCAGCACCCGGGCTGCAGGATGTGGCGCTTACGGGCACTGTGGCCCTCCTCAGTTATGCAGAAAACCTGGAAGCCTGGAAGCAGCGGGCTACCTGCCCGCCACCCTCGCCCAGCCCCACCCATCTTCCTGAAGGGCAAATCCTTGGGTAAACAGTCAGCCAGGTGAGAATGGCACAGCAAGCATGGGGCTGGGAAAAGCAAACACCGTTGGCACCTCTGTGCCGGGCCCACTGCCCAAAGTGACGGTGCTCGACTGCTCAGAGTGGCCTTGCCTGCGGCTGCCACTGGAGCCCCCAGGGTGAATGCCTTGGCCTTCCCCTCCCCTCCCCCCAGAAGCCTGAGTGTGTGTTGAGGGGGAGAATGGACAGGGCAGGAGTCCTCAGGGGGCTGGACTTCCGATGCTCAAGTGCCACCCCCCACGCACACTGAGCCTTCCTTAGGGGACAGGGTAGGTGACCCAGCAGGAGGCACGGGCCTGGAGCCTCTGCTTGGCCACATCCTGGCTGGGTGACTTTGGACAAGTCCCGGGACCTTAGGGCCAGGGATGCCCACGGGTGCGGCTCTGTGAAGGTTAAACGGGACGAGGCCTGTGTGGGAACACTTAGCAAGGAGTGTGGCACAGGAGAGCATCTCGATATGTGGATGCTCTGCCCAGCACCACATGGATGTGGGGTGGAGCCAGGGCATGTCACAGAATGAGGGGCAGTACTGTGGGCAGTACCAGGGCACCACATCGTCCAGGGGCATGCAGCTGCTCCATGACGCCCTGGCCTCTGCCCCCAGGCCGTCTCACCTGTGGCTGCACGAGCTGGGGCTGCTCCACCGGCAGGAGCTGCTCCTGCTGGCCCCACACTCTGGGCAGCCATGAGCTGGGTCCCAGATTCCCTCCAGTTGAGAAAGGCCTGTGCCACCATCAGCCCCCATCCAGCACTTCTACTTCAGGCAGACCTCAGCCCCCAGGCAGTCAGAAGAGCGCAGTCTCCTCCTTGAAGACCCCACCCTGGGGCTGAACTGCACAGGCTGAAGGGGCGGCTTGGCCTTTATCTGCTCCACCGCAGTCGGGTGCTCTGCAGGCCTCTGTGCCTTTTCACATGCTGCTCCCTGCACAGAATGCCTTTCCCATCTTACTCTCTGGGAACACCTTGGCCTTCCAGGGCTTAGCCTAAACACCTCCTAGGTGAAACCTCCAGAAGCCTGCCAACCCCAAGGCAGGCCTGATCAGCGCCCCTCCATTCCTGCCGCAGGAACCTGGTTCCCCACCAGGCCAGGAACTCCCGGGGCGTCCTGTGTCCTTGGCACCGGGCACAGAGCCTGGGGACTTGCAGCTCCTCAAGAGACCAGGCCCTGGGCCCAGCTCCCGTGTCCCGCTGAGATCACGCTGCTGGCCCCGTGGGCCAAGGAGACTCAGGCAGCGTGCGGGAGGCAAAGAGGACTGAGCTTCCTGGACGAGGCAGCTGGGGGCTGGCGGTCTCCTCTCCTCTGGAAACTGTCCGCGCCCTGAGCACCAAGCCTCCCCCCAGCCAGGGCGGCTCTGGGGGCTTGTCAGCTGCCTCCCCATCTCCAAAAGCAGAAACCAAAGTTAACAGGAGGGGTGAGCAAAGGGAGGTGCAAGCGGAACCGCGGGGAGAAGGGAGTTGTGGCTGCCATCTGCTGAGAACGAGATGTTTGGAGAACACGCGCTCCTCGGCTCTGAGGTCTCCCAGCCAGCTTGCAGAGGGTGGGCCGCCCCTCTGCAGATGGGAGCCGGCGGTGCAGCCAAGCTGAGAGGTGCCAGGGCCCCCGCCTGCCCGCCCAGACCCTCCACTGCCCCCGTCTGACCTCATTCTCAAGCAGATCGGGGCAGGTGTGAGGCTGGGGGGGCAAGGATGCTAGCTCAGGACACGAGCCACACCGCCTCCTCCAGGGAGCCCCCCGCAGGCTCTGGGGAGCCAACTCCACTGTAATGATGATAATAACTCAAACGTAATGATAATAAGGGCAACAATACCAGCTATTGTTTAACAAGGGCCCAACTGCCTGCCAGAAGGCCCTGTACCGGGAAGGTCTTGCCATTATCTCACTTCACCCATCACCTGGGGAGCAGGGAGGAGGAAACGGAGAGTCCTCACTGCAGAGGCACCTGGCCACGGAAGCCCATCGGGAGAAAGTCCTTGGGCCCTGCCTCGCTCTCTGAAGCTGGGGGCTTAATAAACAACAGGAGAACATCTGGCAGGGAAGGCACCTGCTGAGCCACTGACTCACACACGCTCGTTTAGGAAGGAAGGTGAGAGGCAAGGATGCAGAGACTTGCCCCAGGCCACACCGAGGTCAACGGCGGGCCAGAAGCAGAACCCGGAACCCTGGCCTCAAGCCCGGCTCCCGGAGCCTCAGCCGCTCCTGGTCAGAGCTGT